TTCGCAATATTAAGCACTGTTGTCGAATATCGCAGGTTTTCCTAATATCGTGCAGCCCTAGAAGAGATGGTTTGAATTTCCTCTTTGTCTCTGTTTTGCTCCTGCTCTGCACCCACACTTCTTGCGTTTTAGCTCATTTGGGATTTGTGGCTTCAGTTGAGGTATTATTTCAGCCTTTCCAATGTTAATCAGCTGCTCCCGATTGTAAACCAGCTTGTTGCCAATGGTTACGCATCCTAACAAATGCTCAAAAAGTGAAAAAAATAGCAGTAAAAATTCTCTAAGCTTCACAGCACTAGAAACAGAAAAGTAACATGTCCAAAAAATACAGTTTTTCTTGAGAAACTAGAAGAAAAAATGTCCCCAAAAAAGGCAAAACTTACATACAGTCAACAGAGCTACTCAAACATGCAGCCACCCAGAGCAGCGCATTTCTGGAAACCCACCACCCAGTCGATCCAAGTCCAAGGAACGTTTTTTTGGCAAAGACGCTAATGATTTGGGGAACTACTGCCACCTACAGGCTTGGCATTTCCGTTAATGCGCTTCACAGTGCAATGGATTTATTTATTTATTTATTTATTTATTTATTTATTTATTTATTTGTTTATTTATTTAAGCTAGCTGAAAATGTGGTGGTGTGGAAAGATATTTGGTTTTAGAAAACCCGGCTACGTGTAGATGGCCTTATTCCCAGGATTCTAAGGAAACAATTAAGTAACATTTACTCCTACTGGAGACAAAGCACCACCAGAACCTTATATTTAGTTTTTCACACCAATGTGACAGAAACACACTGCCACTTGGCCTGCTGTTTGTTAGTGTGCTTTTTTTTCTCTTGGAGAAGATGAAAAAGAGCAGAATGGAGTGGGCAAGCTGATCCAGGAACAAGGGGAGGTGCGGTCTTGGAGTCAGTGCTGCTGCACATGCACGCATTATCCCTCATTCAATGTGTGCCAGTCTTTCTTCCACTGTCACTCTGTCGCTTTCCATCTCTCCCACATTCTCCTTTCATCCTCGACCTACTTTCCTCATGGTGGTGGGAGTCGCTAAACAACATGAAGCTAAGTGTGAAAAACACAAAGCAGAACTAGGACAAATTCACCATGCTGCACAGATCACTCTGGAGAATTGTGCCACTCCTCAATTCGCCATGCTGCTCACTCCGTCTGCCCTACAACTTTGTTTAGTGTTTAAACTCAGGAGCCCCTCGTGTTCCTGCATCAGCTCAGTCAACATGTTTTCTCCTTTTACCACCTTCTTCCTCTACTGCACTCTCACTCACCTCATACTTTTTATAAATATACAGAGTTGGGCTTAAGTTTAGGTAAGTGTGGGGAAAAGGGGTTTAAAGTAAGAATTATTTCACAAGTAGTCTACTGTACAAACGTTCTGAGTCAATTCTGTGTACTTTGCTGTTAAACAGCTAGACTTTCTTCTAATGTTGGTTTTTGTCTTATGAAAACTTCAGGATTTTTTAAGGTCTGACAGAATGTTCCTTTGGATTTTTGCTGAATTTTCAGATTTTAAATCAGTCATTTTCATTCAAGTAACCAGCCATTAGAGGAAAGTATTTTCTTTATTGATTCAAGAATGCAGTCGTTCAACCGCTATTGAAAAAACCTGGCTTGGATCACACTGCTTGCATATTACCACCTGATTTCCAAACTTCCATTTTTATCCAAAGTCATTGAGAAAGTGGTTCACACTCAACTCTCAATTCATCTGGATGATTACTGCCTCCTAGACCATTTCCAGTCTGGTTTCAGGCCTAACTACAGCACAGAATCTGCTCACGTTCATGTGCTAAACGACATTCTGGTCGCAACTGTAGACCTATCGGCTGCCTTCGACACAATCGACCATAACATCCTACATAGAGGCTTGAATTGTGGGCAGGAGAGAAAGGGGCCCCACTTGATTGGTTTCGGTCCTACCTGTTAGACAGACACTTTAGCGTCCACATTGACGACTGCTCCTCTCCATCAGTGCCACTACCCTGGGGGGTGCCTCAAGGTTCAATCTTGGGGCCACTCCTCATCTCAATTTACTTGTTACCACTGGGAATGATTTTGGCAAAACTTGGAATGAGTTACTACCTTTACGCAGACTGTCAGATTTATTTGGCTTTAAATAAACCTGATTCCACTCACCTACTCGTTGACTGCCTCTCTGAAGTCAAAAACTGGCTCTCGGCCAACTCTCTATGTCTCAATGAAAATAAGACAGACATTATTGTTTTTAATCCAATAAATCCCAAGCATTCACTTGACGAGACTTCTCTTCCATTGCTAAACCTGAAACCCTGTGTCACTAGTCTGGGAGTAAGATTCGACTCTGACCTGTCCATGACCTCACAAATTAATGCTACTGTCAAGTCCTGTTTCGTCCAACTGCGCCGTATCACCCGCTTAAAGTCCATAGTCAAGAGACCTCATCTGGAATCAATCATCCACGCTTTTATTATCTCACGATTGGACTATGCCAACTCGGTGCTCATTGGTGTTAAGGTCTCCTCCATTGAGCGTCTTCAGCGAGTACAGAATGCCGCAGCTAGATTCCTCCCAAATACCTCCAGACGTTGTCACATTACTCCCATCCTCGCCCGCTTACACTGGTTACCTGTGCAGTACCGGATACAGTTCAAAATCCTACTGTTTGTCTATAAAGCATTGAAAGGCCCAACTCCCACTTACCTCGCTGAACTAATAAAACCATATGCTCCTTCTAGGTCCCTTAGATCAGCAGATCAGCTACTACTGTGCATCCCGAAGATGCACTACAAATCTCGTGGTGAGCGAGCCTTCTCTTTTGCTGCCCCCAAACTCTGGAATGCCCTCCCCCTCTAAGTATGACAGGTCCCTTCACTAGGCCGTTTTAAGTCGGCACTGAAGACCTATTTTTATCACCTTGCTTTTGGTCATTGACCTACTTTTACTTACTTTTACTTAGGACTGATTGCCTTTGGTGTTTTATTCTGTTCTTTTCCCGCTTTTATTTTCTCATTTTTTTAGTACCGATCGCGCTTTTATTTATCTATTTTTAATCTTATTTGTAGATTGTTTGATTTTATTTCTTTTTTTACGGAGTTCCTCTGTTCCCTGCTGTACAACACTTTGGCCAGCTGCCATGCTGTTTTTAAATGTGCTCTATAAATAAACATGGTATGGTATGGTAAGTTAATTTTTTTATTTTCCAAACTGTCTATTCACACAATTGCACACCACTTGGACCAGTCACAGCAATGAACAATGTGACTTATTCATTACTACAGTAATCAGTGGGGCAGTCCGCCATACACTGTTGAAGAAGAAGAAGAAGAAGCAAATACACCTTTTTCAAAAGGACTTATATGTTGAATATAGAACAATTTCATAAAAGGGTATACTTTTTAAATAATACCTCCACAGGGCGTTAAGAGGTACAGTATTTCCTTTAAAAGCTTTATTTTAATTACAAAACAATCAAATTTTTACTTTGACAGACACGGCACTGGGTTTATGTTTACATCCACCAGCCAATAGAGGGCACCTTTGCGTTAAAAAGTCTGTTCGGCACAGCAAGGCTGGCACGGTGGAAAATGGTGGACTCAGCAAGTGAAGCAGCTGCTTCTGGTACCAGAAGATGTTCTAATGTTAAATACTGTTGTAAAAATCACCTATTGGTAGGAATTAGTCCTTACCCTGTACGATTCGTCACTGGACACGGTGTTGGCTGGTCACAAGTATCGGCAGTGAATCTGAACATCCCGATGGCTTGAAACCCTGCTCTATTGTTGCAACTACAACCTTTACAAACTAGATGTTGCTTTGGTGTTAATGTGCCATATTAAACCCTTAAGGGCCTCTATCTGCTCATGTCTCAAACAAATAAACCCAAGTTTAAATCATCCAAAGATGATGCCAAATCCACATTCCTGAGCCAACGCCACCTTTGTAGTTCTTCTCCATTACAACTCTAGCAATGTGTCCAGTGTGTCTCTATACACATAGAGTGCTGTGATTATCTGTGCCTAAACGCAGCCAAACCAATGGAAGACCTGCACTCTCGTTGTTGTACCACGTTCCTCTAGTCAACAAAGCTGTCCTCAACACTTGTTACAGTTTTTTTGCACCAAACGTCTTAGTTTTTAATGCAAAGTTGAATCATCTAACCTTGTTTCTACATCGGTTTGACCTTTTGGTTGCAATTCTTCGGTCAAGACCCCTTCTGGTCAAACTTCTTCTGACTGTAGATGGGTGTAGCTGGTCTGAGGGCACCGCTGAACATCTATTGAATGAAAATAAACAGTGTTGCCTGTTTCTTTGTGCTGGATAAAATGAGCTTGAACAGCTGATGTAGAATATCCCACCACCAAACACACACACACACACACACACACACACACACGCACGCACACTCGTCCACCACCAGTGCTTTGAATTCTTTGCATTGCAGAGACTAGTTGATGTAGTACAACAACCTTGTTGCTCGTTCCTGCCTGACGAGGTTTAGGCCTCCTACAGTTGTCTCAAGGAAAACATCACATAGTAGATGCAGCGTATTCTGCAGGATTTGCTTCTTGAATCTTTAAGGGCAAATACAGCCTGTAGATATGAGGAAACCAAAGTGAAAACCTGCTTAGTTTTACCAATAAGAAAACCAGAAAACATGTACTTGTTTACAGAAAACGATCCATCCAGTTTATGATTGGGATTAACTATTCAGTTTTTCATTCAGTAAGTTGTAATGGTAAACAAGTTTTAGAATAAATGAATGAATAGTCATAGTAAAACTGAACCCAGCATGATGTGCAGATATATAAGTCCCTCTTATCAGTCATCCTGCCCACTGCCATCTGTCCGTTCAGGCGTGAATTCCTCCCCTTGTGGATTTAGGCCAGTATAATCTGTTGCTGACTCACAGCAGAGATGATTTTTTTTTCAGGCCCACCCATTTTTGATTAAACTGACATTTTTTCCCTCTCCCTTGTCCTATCTAATGATGCATCTTCTCCCTAGTTACCATGGTGATGGGGATCCCCACAGTGAAGCGGAAGGTGAAGTCGTACCTGTCGGAGACTCTGCGTTCCCTAATAGACAAGCTTTCGGCGGAGGAGAAACTCGACTGTGTCATCATCGTGTTTGTTGGGGAGGTGAGAGCTCAAATATGACATGAGTCAGAGCACAACTCTTGTGCTTTTTAAAGATATTTGCTTATACGTGCAAAAATAAAAGCTTTTCGCTGTGCTTGTGTGATATCTGCAGACTGAGCAGGACTATGTTCACAGCGTGGTCGCTGACTTGGAGAAGGAGTGAGTAGACGTCTCCACAGGCACATCAAAGGTCAACATCCTAAGATCTGAAAGCTGAACTATTTCTTTCATTAGTTTTTCCACAGAGCTGAACTCGGGGTTGCTGGAGGTCATTTCCCCACCTGCTGCCTATTACCCTGATCTAACCAACCTCAAGGAGACTTTTGGAGACTCGAAAGAAAGAGTCCGGTAGGAACGACGCGCTTGTTGCACAGTTAGGTTTGAGGGTAACGTTGTTGTAAAGCTGTGACGAGGATAGCACAGAAATCAGAAGGATGAGTCAGGGGAAAGGAGCGAGGGAAGGACATGTAAGCTTTTAGGTGGGTTGACTGAGCGCTTAGTATTCCACAGGCATTTGTCAAAGTCAGATCAAGGTCATCAGCTGCAGCGCTCCTCATCACCGTTTCTCAGTGTGATCCTCTGCGCTTATCTTCTCTTTCTAGTTGACTTCATTAAAATCTATTTCTGGTGCAGTGGAGGCTTTTACAGTATGTACTCGGACAATAGCCTTCAGGAGCACCACGTTCTTTTAGTTTCACTCTGGGTGTTTGAAGACTCACATCTACTAGTTAGTATTTTATTTACCTGCATTCAGATCTGTTGCTAAGAAAACCATGGCTGCCTGCAGAGTAGCGATGTCCAACCACCTGGCTGAGCTTCAGCATTCGTGCTTGCACGTTGATGGTGTGTGATGAGTGTGTGTGATGGAGCCTTGTGTAGTCAGAAAGGTTTCTGTGCCAGCTCCCCCACAGGAACACCTGCAGTCATCTGTGAACAGCCCTCCGTGAGACGGCTACATCATTTGGATCTAACAATTAATGTGACAGCTGTGGTTTATAAATTATTCAGGCAAAGGCTGCTGTTGCATTGCTGTGTTTACACCTGAGGGTCCGGTTCTGCTTTTGTGTGTAAAGCAGTCTGATAAGAAAAGGAAAAAAAAAAAAAAAACATCCAGTAAGATACGTGTGTACTTTGTGTTTTGTGAGCTCATGAGTTTTATTTTTGACTCAGGTGGCGAACGAAGCAGAATCTGGATTATTCTTTTCTCATGATGTACGCCGTGAGCAAAGGGGTTTATTACGTCCAGGTAAGTTATTGAGCTGTTATCAGGCTTATAGGTGAATAAGTCACAACTGTGACCAAACAAACCCGAAAAAGCTGCTATTTATTAAAAGCAGCCATTTGTCTCAAGATTTAACGTGCTGTGAAAAGTAACTACTCATCCAGAACATAGGAGACAATAAACCTGTTGGAATAAACTACTTTCTGTGACTTACATTTGCCAGCTTCAACAGCGTTTTTTTTTAATTAATGTTTGAAATTTTGGTTTTACACGCGGCCAAAAACTAGAAAATAAATGACCTGAGCTACGTCCCACAGATGAGTGATTCACGCTGTTACACACCAAGTTTTCATTTTTACTCAGTGAGGTGAATCCAAACAAGGAAATTATGAAACCAAAAATATTTGCATAAAAGCCTTTTTGATAAAAGCATTTGTTTTATTTCAACTCATCAGAAAGGACACATAGCTGCCCTCTTAACTTAAAATCACTCCTCTCCATCACCTTATCATCATGTTCGTCTTTTGAAGTTCTAACTTTTAATCATTCCATTTTTTGTCCCGTTTATGGAACGTTTTATTGGCTTTAACAGCTCTCATATGGAAAGAAGAGGTGTGTTATAAGTAAATAATTTTATTTACTTGATGTCCGCTTCTGTAGTTCTCTAGTTTAGTGTACTCAGTTCAGAACAACCTGTGTGATCGTAGAAGAGTCTACCCACACCTCCCTTCATCTACAGCAACCCTCATCCTAGACGTGTATTTATCGCTACATTTGTCTCTTTGCTCCTGAAGCTGGAGGATGACATTGTGGCCAAGCCCAACTACTTTGCCACCATGAAGAATTTCGCTCTGCAGCTGTCATCAGAAGACTGGATGATCCTGGAGTTCTCTCAGCTCGGCTTCATTGGTACCAACTGTTACTCATCTGATCAACTTTTAACCTACAGAAAACACACAAAAGCTGACAAGTCAGAAAATGACAAAACATAGTTTTATTATTTTTATGCTTTTTGAGGAGCTGAATGTAAATGATGGAAATGTGCAGGGAAGAGATTATGCTTCTTTAGTCGGTACAATATGTTGATTTTTACAATATTTGTATTTTAGCCCTTAAATGTAACAACAGCATCTTTAAAGCTGACATTGAAGAAACTATTAGAGAATTATTACAATAGGCGCACAGAGACAAATGCCTCATCCTCTTGTCCGGTATTAATTGGTTTATTTAGATTTATTCAGGAGTAATTTGAGGTGAAACAGTAAATATTATTTTTATTTCATTGCTACTCATGAAAGAAAAAGTATTTTTACTTATACTAAAAATCTCCTTTGTTGGTGTTTAATTTTCTGTGCAGAAAATTCTCTGCAGTTGAGCAGCGAGTGAATGTTCATTTATACAGTTTTTATTTTTCTTTCTTGCAGGAAAAATGTTCCAGGCTCCAGACTTGAACCTCATAGTTGAGTTTATTTTTATGTTCTACAAAGAGAAGCCCATCGACTGGCTGCTGGACCACATTCTCTGGGTCAAAGTTTGCAACCCTGAGAAAGATGCGGTATGCGCCGAAATGTCTTTACAAATAAAAGATTCAGTCTTAAGTGGAATGAGTCATCTTATTCATTCATTTTGTTTTTTCTCCACAGAAACACTGCGAGCGACAGAAATCCAGCCTCCGCGTTCGATTTCGACCCTCGCTGTTTCAACACGTTGGACTCCATTCTTCTCTTGCTGGAAAGATTCAGAAGCTCACAGTGAGTCTGGTGTCATGAGTGTTGATGATCTTCAGAATCAGTGGAGGCCACTTCCTGTATAGAAACTGTGATTTTCCTTCTGTCTGCTGCTGTAGGATAAGGACTTCTTGAAGCCTCTGCTCCACAAGATGCATGTTAACCCTCCTGCAGAAGTCTCCACCTCCATGAAGGTAAACACCAGAGTCAACACGCCTGCTCTAATTTCATCATTTGGATACCAAGAGTTCCCCTAGAATAAATGAATAAAAGTGAATTTGCTAAATAAAAACAAGAACAAACATTTTGCGTTATGCAGGTGTATCAGGGTCACACACTGGAGAAGACATACCTCGGAGAAGATTTTTTCTGGGCCATCACTCCCACTGCTGGAGACTACATCCTCTTCAGATTTGACAGGCCTGTTAGCATAGAGAGGTAAACGCATGAAAATATTTAACAATTGCTGTTTTAGATTTAAAATTTCACTAAGATGAACAGATTTTCACCTATTTTAATTACCTGTCCTTTACTGATTGAGGTCGTGTTTGTGTGCATGTGTGTGTGTGTGCGTGCGTGCACGCCTTTGGAGATTAGCATGAGCTAATGTGAGTGCTCTAAACTCTGTATTCTCAGGCTGCTTTGCTTTGGTGGTGCAGTAGAGAAGGGAGATGGTGAAACATAAAGAGATCAAACTCAGACTGAGAGTTAGTTTATGATGCTTTTTTATTGATTGATGCCAATTTTTCTGGTCTTGTTCCTCATCAGCACATTGTTTTCTTCTGCAGTTCTTCTACTGACAAATGAGCACATCCTAAAAATCACAATGATTCAAATATGATAGCAGGGAAGTTGTTTTTTCCCCTCTTAACAGTCCACTCTAGCCTCCCGGCTATGGGTTACCTGTGGTTTTTGCATTCAGATCATTCCTTCAGTTTCTCAGAAACCTGCAGGGATTCTTCAGCTCTTCACAGATGAAAAAGCAGAAGTATCAGAATTCATAAAGCTGCAGGAAGTGTAGCTTTGACATTAACCTGATTTCTTAAAATCTTTTAGAAAAAAAAAACACAAAATACATCCATCTACATATAAGCTCTGAGATGCAAAGGCTCATTTTATTTACATGTTTGTTTGCTAAAAAATGTGAGAACGTTACTTTGTGGATGAAAATAATGAGATGAATGCTTGATTTGATTGGCAGGTTTCTGTTTCGCAGCGGTAACCAGGAGCACCCAGGGGACAAGATTGAGAACACCACAGTAGAAATACTACCTTCATCGGTAGGGAAACCCCACCTCACTCCACCCAAAAACACACACACAGTCTGCCGCCCTTCTCTGGTGAGGTGTGCAAAAGGCTGGGATTAGATTACGTTGAGTGGCTGCTCTTTTGGACGTAGTGTATTGATTTTTGGGGGCAGAAATGTGAGCAGGACAAAATAACTGGCTCCGCCAGCACTGGTAGGCTCTGATGCTGCAGTCTTTATTTTCAGTGTAACATAAAAAACAAAAGAAAGAAAAAAGAACACTTTGCTGCTCACATTTGTTTGGCAGCTGTTGAAAAAGCTGGTGTTAATTCTGTCCTTAAATGTTAGGAGGGCGGATTGTTGAACAAAGACAAGTACAAGAGAACCGAAGATCGTTTTTACAGGATCGGTAAGTGCGTCCAACACTCTGACCTGAGTTTATGGGAACAAACTCATCAGGTTACACACACTGACGGCAGCATTATATTTGCGTTTTTGCTTACATGTTTACTTAGGTAACTTTGAGAAAGGTGTGGCAGAAGGAGCGGTAGATCCCTCCTTCAATCCCGTTGTGGCGCTTCGCCTGTCAGTGCTCAAAGACTCTGCTGTGTGGGCCATCCTCAGTGAAGTAAGTGACTAATATCAGATGCAAATAGGGCTGCTCAATTAATCAAATTTTAATCCCAATTACGATCTGAGTTTCGAACAATTACAAAAACAAAACGAACCGATTATTTTCTCCTCCCTCTTGCGCTGCTCCAAGTTGCAAATCAAGCACTATTCCCACATTGTTGCCAACTTAGCAAATTAGTTGCTATTTCCAACATCTTTTCAGACCCTCTTCTAGACTTTTTTAATTTTAAAAGTGCCTAGCGAACAATGTAGAAACATCTCTGGTAACGTTTAATTACTTTCTGGAAAACTGTTGTTGACATTTCCTGCAGGTTAGCAAAACACTCCGCCTGCGCTCCGGACCGTCTTTCCGGACATTAGGAAAGGGAATGATGTAGTGATGTGTTGGTCACAAAAAAAAAAAATGCTCTCAGAGCCGGCTTCCTCTTGGATTAACCGGAGTGAGTGACACACACCGTACCTGCAGGCTCCTGAGCCGCTAAAAACGGGTTTGGTGTGTGTGTGTGTGTGTGTGTGTGCGTGTGCGTGTGTGTGTGTGGCGCAGCGCAACTCCGATTGCTGTGGCTGGGACAATCATTACATTAACCGATGGGACCTGTAAATAAATAGTTTAGAAATAGAAGAAATAAGTTTCTCACGCTGACAAATATGAATTACTGTAAATCCTCTAATATTAGCCTGTATTCAATTAACGGCCGGGTACCATGTTTTGGCCGGTGTCTGAGTCGGCGGAGGTGAATAATGGCCGGTTTTTTATAGTGGCCGGGTGGAATGTGGTAACAAGCAAGTACCACGGGGGGGGCGGTTATGTCATCTGTCTCACTTTTGATTTGCCAGTGATAGACCGCAAGGGTAACTTTAACCGTGCGGAGACGAAGAGGAGGCGAAAATTTGATATCAAGTTCAAAGAGAACGTGCTGATTATGCTGCAGAACACTCTGGGGAGCAGTAGGGGTTGTACGAACTAGTCACTAGTCGACTTCACTGCTCTATAGAGACTTTTTATGCCTGTCATCGACTAGTCGCTGTCACGTGATAATGACCGGCAAGATGCAGTCCTCGGAAAAGACAGCAGCCTGCTGTCAGCAGGTGACAAGCTCCTGCGCGTCGGGAGGCAACGCGTTGTGCCAGAGCGTTGCCCGCCGTAAAACGCCGCCGTAAAACTGACGCCCGCCGTAAAACGGACATTTAACCAAATTGTGACCTTTACCCTCTTGCAATTTAACCTTCCCATCCTAACCTTAACCAGCTTGCGCATGCAAAGCTCTGATTGTTGATGCGCTCCAGACATCTGCGTCCTGAGCACGGCCACAGTAACATTATCAAATCAGGTGTCGCCACCTCAAAAACTAATTTAACACGCGATCGTTCATGTCGCCACATTTCCTTTTATGTTTTCTGTCTTTTATTCTTTTATTTGTGCCTGACGCTTTTCGCTGCTGTGGAGTGGAGCGCATCACCTGTTTTGTCCTCCAATAACTTCACCTCACTGATGCGGCCGCCAAGCAGCGAGCACTCCGCTGTTTTTGCGGTCGGTAGATCTTTTAGAACTGCAGTTCAAAGGTAACTCATGAGGTGAATATATATGAACCCAGGTAGCAGTTTTTCTTTAGGATTGAGAGGAGATGCAGGAAGATAATAAACAGGCAGGACAGAAAAATTGTCAAATAAAAACAAGTTAGTTTTTGTACCTGGTGGTTGCAACAAACAGACACCACTGAAGGTAATCAGAAGTGAGGAACAGAAAATGAAATAATTATTTTAATGTTTAGAGCAGCAGGAACTCCGAGAGGCTGCAGGCGCATCAGTGAGTTTGCGGCCGCTGCGCAGGGGGAGGGGGGAAGATGGCTGATGCAGAAACTACCGTTGTTAAAAGAAATGTGTTTAACTCTGAAAATGTGGGCTCAATTTTAATTGTCAAAAACTCCAGCGAACCATTAGTTAATTTTGCTCAAATAGAAATAGAGGCCTGCCTCTAATACTGGCCCTCTTTCCAATAAAGGCTTGGAGCTTGATGAGCTTGAGTCAAATACAGGCCCGGGCCTGTATTAGAGGATTTACGGTAATCTCTCTTGAGGACACGTTGCTAGTGTACACACACGTACAGCACCGCTTGACAGGACTAAATAAATATTATGCAACATTTTGTGACCATCACTAAAACATATATGTTTATATGTTTTTTATTTATGTTATGAATACCACTGTATAATTCAGTATTTGCAAGATATTGGTTGGATATTTGGGCCTGTATTGGTTAGGCTTAAATGAGTTAAATCTCAGCCCTTTGGGTCATAAACTATGAGCTAGTGTGTTGGCCTTTTTATACTAGGAGTCAGGAGTTGTTTTTTGATTATCTTGTTGCTTTCTTTTTCTTTCTTTTCATCCTGATTGTGCCTTGAGCAATTTTATGACCGAATAAATAAACAAACAAATAAAATCAACATTAATTGATAAATCGTCTTAAATAATCGAGATCTCAATTTCAGTCACAATAATCATGATTTTCATTTTTGCCATAATCGAGCAGCCCCATAGATGCAAACCTCCTCCTTGCTGTAACCATTTACTCAGACATGTGGTTCTCCATTTTCTCTTTGCAGATACATATAAAGAGAATATCGGGATGATTTTTCTGATGGAGGTACATGAATCACGGCCCCTGGAGAGCCAGGATCTCCCGGACTGCTTATGCAGGGTCACTGGCACCTAGCAACCAGCAGTGAAGCTATTAGAGCTTAGTCGCTCGTCCCAGCTTGTCTAAGAAACGCCTCCTCTCTGTCTCTTTGTTTTTAATGTTGTTTTTTTTGTTGTTGTTTTTTTTACCTGATGTACTTCATTCATCATTAATCTGTTTCTCAATCTTCCTTAGTGCATTTATCAATTTGAGAGAATGTGAATACTACTGTCTGCTACCAAGGATGGAGGGTGTGAGGACATCTGCTCCCAGCTCTGGCTCTTAAAGGGAGTGTGTTGTTCAGCAGCTTTGGAAACAATCAGATAACTCCTGGAGGAATGAAGTAGGGGAGAACCAGTCACCTGGCCAGTAGAGTCGATGCTGCCAAATCCCTGTACTTTACTCAATGCTGCCACATGTGGGTCAGCTGGGGCATTGCACTCTCTCTGGCGCCTCAGCAAACCCAGTGATGATCAAGAATGTTGTCCTCACTAGTGGCCAGTTGCTCTGTGTTCTCTGCAGTGATCCAGACACGCCCCCTAGGTCAACTCTAGTCCAGACAATTGTTATTTCCTCACGAGTTTTAAACGTTTTTAGTTCTGAAACAAACTCGACACAAGCTTATTGTTCCCAAATCCATCTCTGTGATCATAGGGAAGTTTAGTGGTAACTACCAGAATCCGTGAAGGAGACCAGTTCCACCAGAACGTCAGCTGTTTCCCTCTTGTTGTCCCCCAGGCTGTGTGTGACCTCTGTGTTTATTTATAGTCAGTCATTCAGACACCGCCTTGGCAACATGTTCAGGATGAAATATATTGTTATAATGATATATTATTACAGCTATGACTGACGATCTATGAAGGTGACTTAATTTATTTGAAATAAATCTTTAATTTATACAAGAGGTAAAATATATTTTTATTCTAAGAGATGTTTATGGTAGTTTGGTCTGTGTTTTTATGTACTTTTTTAAAATCTTGAATGGCTTATTCTGTAAATTTTATTTTCATTGTAAAAACTACTTTGAAAGTTGTAACTGAAACCGTTTATTTTCACTGCGTAAGAACGGAGTAGTTGGGAAGTTGTGAACGGCTTCCGCTGAAGAGGACGAAAGTTTCAATCAGAGAAATGTGCCTTATGTCCAGATCTCTTGAAGTTGCCCCATCGACATCTCTGAAAATCACCCCTCTCAATTTTCGACTACACATCTGATTGCTGGATATGTTAATAATTTAGAAAAATGACCCACAGAATGGGATTGCATGTGGAGAATATTTAAATGCTAATTGAAAGTAGTGAACAAGGTGGTTTTACCAGTTCACCATCTGACATAGCGATGTTTGCACTGCTTTTTTATTTTTAGATCACATCAGCCATCTTTGTACCTCAAATAGTTTATTTTTTCCAAGTCCTCTTTAGAGTTGATTTACCCATTTTGGTTGCTTTGAATGTACAAAACATGACTACTGATCCTTAGAGTGCACCACTGAATGTACATATATTTACAATATATGTGTATACTGCAACGAGCATCATATTTTCTATCACTTTTCCTTTCCCAACTTAGTGTGTTTTGTGAATGTGGCCAATGATGAGTGAAATCTATTTGTGATGGAAATTTAACAGGTTTAATATTTTAGTAGTTTCCCCGGAGTGCCTGTTGGTAGATTTAGTCTCAGATTGATTCTTGCATATCATGCTTATTAGCATGAGCAATTTTTTAATGTTAATAAAATGTTTTAAACGAGGTTCCGTCAGGCCTGATCAAACGATTAACTGAAGCTGGACTCAGATGAGTCTCTGGATCTTTCTACTTCTCATGCCATTTAAAGAGGAGAACTGTAATATTTTGAAAGGACGTTTGACTACTACTTTGATCAGCTTTTATGGCTGTCTAGATACAAGCAGGAAATGAGTGCATGCAAGGACAAGAAATCCTGAGATTTCCTTGTTCTTTTTAAGGAAAGTTAAATCCATAATTTTGAGAAAGTAAAATTAAAATGAATATCTTTATTTAAATGTTACCATAACCCATCAGTTCATGTGCCTTCCATCGTGTTCATATGTTTGCCTGATTCTAATGTTTTATTGGCATAATTTTACATGAACATTTTAAAATAAATGAGTAAAGTTGGTAGAAGTAACTCATTTTGCGTTGTGATTTTGTTCTACTTACATCCCTCATCCCCATTTTCGATGTTTATTTCTATTTAATTTTGATCTAAATTCTTTAAATACTTGTAAAACAAACTGAAATTTATTTTCATCTAGAGATTTCATGATGAACTACAAACCTTCCCAGCATGCACTTCTACTTCTGTTTTCCCAGCATGCATTTTCCCCACTGCAATGGCCGCTTGGTTTTTATAACCAACATGTCATATATGTTCACCCTCTAATTTTGGCATATTTGAGATAGTTTTAGGCGATATAAATTTAATGCCGAACAATGCCGAAATATTACGAGGATAAAGAGGAGGATACGCGAGCCTGCGCCGGCGTTAGGGAGGACTTTAAGGCTTGTCTTCTTCAGCATGACTGTGTTGTGAAGGTAAGCAGGAGGTTACCTTGACTAAACCCGTTACAAACCTTAACTAGTTATATAACAGTTTTTGTCTTTTTATTTAAACCAAATTTATGAAACATTAAGTTTTTAGGATAGATGTATTATAGAGAATGTCATTTTAAAAACGACTTAATTATAGCCGCGTCAAGCCTAATAATTTTATATACATTTTCACGACTTGTGTCGTGTTTTCAATTTAAAAAAAGTGAGTTTGATACAACTTTTTTTTTATTTCGTTGGCCTCCTGTAATTCGGCATTATTCATACTAATTATTTCACCCGACAGCTTGTAGAAAGGCTTTGTTCTCGTTTGCTAGCTCACTTGCTAATTCTGTTGAAATTATCAACATAAGCAACATTACTATCGTTGGCCGTTAGCTTATGGCCCACACACACACACACACACACACACACACATATATGTATATATGTATGTATGTATGTATGTATATATATATATATATATATATATATATATATTCAGACAGATCCAGAATAGTCTCTTTATTTGACAGGAGGGAAAGAAGCCCAGTGACTGTCTTAAGGAAGGCCACTGCAAAGCTCTGCAGACATCATTTTTCGAGTGCAAGAGGTCCCTGGTAAGTCTATAATACTAATAGCTTTGCAGTTGTATATTTCCGTAACTGCAAAAGATGATGTACAAATGTGAATGAAAGAATTAAGCGTTCTGATGCATGTCTGTTTGCCGTTTGCAGCTGGATACAAGATCAAGGTTCAGAGGGAGGAAAGGATACTGATGACCTATTTCTACTGTTAGGGTGGAAACCAGTGGAACACCTTTTTCAGCAATACGGATGCTTCTTCTGAGGGACATGTGTGGCAGCAAAAGACCAAAACATACAAATATACTTGGAGCAGGATTCCAGTTTCAGACCACAGATTGAAGCTTGAATATTTTTAAGGAAAGGTTTATTCTGGATGGATGTGTGTGGTGTATGGATAGAAAAAATGTTAATAAATGAACAAAGTAAAAATTTCCATTGCTTTGTTACGTTTTTCAACATCACAAAGATGAAAGTGAATGTAGTAAATTCATCTTATAGCCGTGGACGTAACCAGAGTAGAAATAATATCTAATTAAGTCCAGTTACTTCAAAGCAGCCATCATCATCTGCTTAAACCTCTCCAGGTCCACCTTCTTCATGATAAAAGCCTTGTGAGTCTTCTTCAGAAACCCCACAGTGTCCACCACCATCATTCCTCTGGTGTGAGTCCCCGTCAGCTCCACGCTGACTGGGTAACAGTCGCTTTCTATGATGAACGAATCATCTAGAGCGGCCGCCATGGCGTACGAGTCACAGGAGATGAAGCCTGCACCAGCGACACACTCTTTCTGGAAGCGTTCTGTTTTTGCCGCTTCAATGCTGTGCTGGAAAATTTGAGACATGAAGCGAGCTTTGTGGCTGTCCTGCGCCAACCAGGTGTCACAGAACTCCTGAAGAGAGAAAAATACAAACGGTTGCAGCATTTTCCATAAATGGGGTAAAAACGTAAGAGAGAAAATTACCCAGGATAGCTTGTTGTGGCAGGTGAACTCCCAGCAGGCCAAGTAGGTGGGACACTGGTATTCATTCAGCACGATGTACGCAGCTTCTGGATCTGCGGTGAAATTAAACTCCCCACATACTGAAGTGTTTCCTCGAGCTGCATCACAATATTGACCAAGACATGACTTATTAGCTTAGTTTAAATGTTTAATAAAAACTAACAATAAAAATGTGTTACAAGTGAGGCCGGGATTCGATTATCACAAAAAAAATCTTTAATGCAAATCCAGCTTTAATCTGCCTTTTTTTTAATCTAACGAGTGATGAATTTGTGACTCTAAGCTGAAGAAACCAACAGCAAAAGGCAGGAAGCAGACAGCTGCAGACTTAAGCAAAAACAGAAAGAAATGTTATGACAGCGCTGAATGTTTGCAGATACAGGAAGCAGAAAAGTGTTTGCAGCAAATTTGGGGTAAGATGAGAGGAAATACACTTTGCTCTTTTAGACTCATAAAACAACAAAACTAAAGAAAACACACATTAAATTGCATTAGAGCATTTCTCTTGTTTTCAGTTAAGCATTCAAAACCTCTGTGCTTACATGACGTCCATTTTCATAACAAAAATAGATCTAAACATAATTTAAGATGCTTTTATGTCGTCACATCACTAAAACTAGAGACTGACTGGTTTCCACTCACACTCCGTGTTTCCTCCCATGATGTAAAGCCCTCTGAGTTTGCTTGGCAGAGACGGCTCCATCCTCACGGCCAGAGCCAAGTTGGTGAGAGGAGCTGTAGCGACCAGAGACACCTGGGACAGATACGTGGACTCGATAAACCATGCCGTGAGGCAGACACCTTGTCTACTTTTAAGACTAGGCTTAAAACATTTTTATATGATAGGGCCTATGGTTAAAATCTGATGTTAGCCTAGATCTGGACAAGTGGGGGAGTAGAGGGAGGTGGAGTGTACAGTCGGTAAAGACGGCTCTCCCTTGCCCTGTCTCCAACATGCCTCCATCTAAAAGGCTAGGTTATCCAGAGTTATCTCTGTAGTTATGCTGCTATAGGCTTAGACTGCTGGAGGACACACTGACCACTTTTCACACTCTACTGCTTTATTCTACAATCTGCTCTTTAACTGTATTATTTCCTGCTATTCCAGCTGTTAACTTATTTTTTCTCTAAGTGTTTTTCTCCCCAGAAGAAGCTACAACGATGTTCTGCTGAGCTGTGGTGCCCACGTAGAGCGGGCCATCAGCTTGAACACTGTTGCTAACCACTTAATCATTCTCCCTCTCCTGATGCTAACATTTTACTTTCTTTGACATTGAATGTGCTACTACTAGTTTACCCGTTTAATTACAGATTCACTAGGATAAATACAATAAAGTTTATCCCTCACCGAATAGAATATTTACTAAGAAATCACAATGTAACCATAGAAACACTACTTGGTATATATAATGTGTGTGTGGATGTGTGTTTGTGTGTGGGTGGGCTGGTGTTGGCGTATGTGTGTGTCTGCTCTGTCTTCTCAATCCCCAGTGAGTCGTGGAGGATGGCTACATATACTGAGCCAGGATTCTCTGGAGGTTTCTTCCTGTTAAAAGGGAGTTTTCCTCTCCACTGTCGCTAAATGCTTGCCTAGTACGAGGATTGCTGTGAAGTCCCTGACACCAGTCAGTGACCTGATGCAATCTGCTGGGTTCCTTATACAGGAAACTTTTTTCTGATTGGCTTAATGAACTGACCTGTATTGGAATGTTTACTGTTTGAAGTGCCTTGAGACGACTCGTCATGATTTGGCGATATATAAATAAACTTGAATTGAATAAACACACAAGGAACAAAAATCAGCTGTTTTCTCCAACTCTCACCTCTCCTGGATTCTCATTAATGATCCTGATCATAGCCGACACCGCGTTCTCCTTCTGAAGGAGGTCCAGACCAGGAGCGTTTGGGTCAGGAGCGTCTCCCAGCCCGTCCTGACCGTGGAAGTGTCCTGCATTGATGCGGCTTCCAACCAAAGGTTTACTAGCTCCTTTAAACACTGGGATCTGGTTCAAAAGGGTTAATATTTCAGTTCAATAGAAAATAAATTCTGTTTATAATAAAGATTATTTTATTACTCTTTTAAACCCAAAACAATCCAACTGATTAAGTCAAACTTAGCAAAAATGGGCCACTTTCTTTGACTTTTAAAAACTGGTGGATCAGTGAGATCTTTGTAGCCTCCTGGATCTCATCTCTCTCCATACTTGACCCACCTCCTTTAGCTTGTTGCAGGCCTGCAGAACTCTCAGGGCGTTCCTGCACACGTGCTCCACCGCCGTGTTTCCGTGCACGCAGGTGACCCCCAGGACCTTCACACGAGGGGCGGCCAGCGCCAACATGATGGCCTGAGCGTCGTCCACGCCACAGTCCACATCCACCAGCAGCTTCTTACTCATCATTAAACCTGAAGATTTATCCTCTTCAGTAATGAAGTTTATTTTATTATCAATAACTTTATAAAGAATCTGAAACATTTACATGAAATAAAACTTACCTAAAAGCTGTCTGGTAAAACAATCTGAAATGTGAGGAGTTCCTGCTGGAAATGAGCCGACGACACGCTGAAAACAACCTTTGAGCAGATTGAAAATGCTGAATCAAGACTGGGAAAGCTGAGGGACGTTATAAAAAAAAAGTGAGAAATTAATATATAATCTGAAAGTAAAAGTGAAGAAAACAACAAACGTCTCACAAATAAATAAAAACAAGTGAATTAATATTATATTTTTTTAAATAACAGCAGATCTATAGATTAACAAACTTTGTTATTAGCGATCTGCTGCAGTATCTACAGTACAAAGATCAAGTCAGTCTGTACAGTGTGCTGTTACACAGCCACTCCAGTTTTTAAAAGTGTGTGTGTGATGTTAATGAATCACTTCTCAGAGATCATAGAGGAAAACAAACCATGAACTCTGTAGTGATTTCTGATGCACCACAAAACTCAGCAACACCTGTTTTTGAATTAGTTCAGCTTTATTAAAACATGTCAATTAACAATTAACATTTGCTTTTTAAAACAAACTAAATCCTATACAAAGTGCTCATTCTTACATAAAGGCGACAGAATTTGATGTCCTTCATAGAATAAAGACTCCGTTTCTGATTGTATTTAGTCAGATTTTCTCACATTCAGCGTTAAACAGCCTTAAATGCTGCATCTTCAACCTGATCAGTGCTTTTATAATATTTGCAGCCCAACAGTAACGGGACTTTATACACTGCCTGTCTCAAAAACGGATCACACACTCTTAATATTTCCTTGGATCGACTTTAATGTTGATTACTGAGTCATGGTCTCTATAAGTTTCTGAGAGACTTAACTGCATCCACCGTTAATATTTCACTAAGATGTTGTATTGATGATGCAATCTGACCACATACACCTTGTGCACATCCCAAAAATACCCAGTGGGGTTTAACATCCGGCCTCATGTTCCATGAACCACGCTTTCATGATTCTGACCCAATGAATCCTGGAGCAGTCATGGAAAGTGCTTGTGCCGTAATGGAGGAAAACACCTGGTCATTCTGGTGGTCAACCGTTGTTCTTTGAGCAGATAACGCTGCTGAACCCAGACCAGACCTACAGCAGCAACCATCACCTATCCAGCTGGTGGCTTTTTTTGTGGCCATGCACTAAATCCATAAATCAGGTTGTAAAATCAACCCAAAAAGCAACTGGGTTGCATCGAAGCATATTTAAAAAATATCACTGAGAGGTTAAAAACATAAAAACAAAATACCTATTATTTCATTTTACATAGTCTAATAACTTAGACTGTCAGTTTTGCATTGATAACTGAGACTTTTTTTTAGGGGTGACAAAGATGAAGGGAATCAGGAATGAGTGCAGAAATGAGAGATGTGTAGGCAGGAGACTATTAGAGGAACGTCGGATGGAATTAGATGATTCGCTGTGGTGACACCTGAAGGAAACGCTCAAAGGAAAAGAAGTGTTGCACTACAAAAAGAACATATGAATTGATTTCTTGTGTCTAAAATCTGAAAGCGAGTGTAGTAAATTCAGCTTAAGCCTGGTTCATGCTTCTCTGTCAGCTCCGCAAGGGACAGACACGCACGGGCTGACGGAAGCGTTTTGCTCTCATACTTCTCCGTCTCCTGGAGTGTTGCAAAGCAATTCCCCGGCAGGACAACAGAGGGCGTAGCGCTGTTCTGTGGTATCCTGTCATGTATCGGTCCAAGATGGTGTGTTTATATTGTGTTTTTTGTATACAAGAGACTTTTTAACACGGACATATTTGTCTCTCATTCTCCTCCACCTCTTCATGCGCTCACCACCTCTAAACCCACGTTTCCTGTCATTTCTGTCCACAAATAAAACGCTTGCTGCGCATATTTTCACTCCTCCAGTCACGGGGGAATAAAACGTTCATGTTTTTAGTTTTTTCGCGAGGTATTCTTCAAGCTTCTCCGCGTCTGCCGCTTGTTATCCTCGGCTCTATGTTTTTGAGGGCGCAATGGCGGCGCTGTAGACAACAGCGGCGTCCTGACCAATCACAAGCTTGCGTTCTGTCTCGACGGATGGATGTTTAGAAAAGAGAGCTCGACTCCGTCCCTCCTTGCGGAGCTCTCCGGCAGGCCCGTAAGGACGTTGCGTGTCTCCGCACTGACGCAGGCGGAGAAGCATGAATCAGGCTTTATAGCCGAGTCCAGTTACTTCAAAGCAGCCATCATCATCTGCTTAAACCTCTCCAGATCCACCTTCTTCATGATGAAAGCCTTGTGAGTCTTCTTCAGAAGACCCATAGTGTCCACCACCATCATTCCTCGGGTGTGAGTCCCCGTCAGCTCCACGCTGACTGGGTAACAGTCGCTTTCTATGATGAACTGGTCGTCGACAGCCGCCGCCATGGCGTACGAGTCACAGGAGATGAAACCGTGAACCAACTCTTCCTGCTCGCTGTCTTTTGACATCTGGATGCTGTGCTGGAAGATCTGCTTCATGAAGCGAGCTTTGTGGCTGTCCTGCGCCAACCAGGTGTCGCAGAACTCCTGGAGGAGAAATTCCTGTCAGTGAGGACATCCAGAACACATGCAGTTTTGGCTTGCTTTTAGCACCCCCTAGTGTCCGTTTTAACTCACTGTCGTAAAACCAAAAGTGAGACTTCTCGCTGTGCGTTCGTATTTTTAACACCTTAACTGAACAGCTGAAAAGTCTCCTCAGCCTTCTTTAGTGTCTACAGGAGCGGTTCATCACCAAACCAAACAAATCCGATGTGTTCATGATCTGAAACATGCAGGAATCGTGTGCTGGAAGCAGACTCCAGCAGCTCCACTTTACTATGCATTGTCCAACAGGAACCGGCCATATAGTCTGAAGTTGCAAGTGCGGTATTGTGGCCACAGGAGGCGGTGGGGGTCTGAGTGACAATTCATTACCCAGTAAATGGTCATTTTAGCACATACTGGCTCAAGAAAACGATTTTAAACTACAAAAAAGTTGCTAAGTATCTCTTTAGAATCAGTGCGTGAAATACTGACTCTCCACCCTGTTAGGATTTAGAAAAGGAGGAATCAGATGCTGCTGATGAAATCATTATTTTACCAGATCGTGAACAGATTTCAGCACCTAATAAAAATGAGCCATAGCACTTTGTTTTGGGGTCAAGTTCAATTTTGGACAGTTGCTAATCTCCCCAGGAGGAGGAGCATTTCAGCATTATCACTTCTGGGGATTTCGCAAAAAAAGCCTGCAGCTCCATCTCATTCTAGAAGTTAAATATTAAAGTTTAAAACACAAACATAAAATCTGGAATTAGGTTTCTTGATGGGAAAATCTGCCAGGAAAAGCCACAGCTTCTTTGTTTTGACCTTTCACAACACGTTTCCATGACTGTTTTATTCAGAGTTGTGCTATAGAGGGGGTTACCCAGGGCAGCTTGCTGTAACAGGTGAACTCCCAGCAGGCCAGGTAGGTGGGACACTGGTAATCGTTCAGCACGATGTACGCAGCTTCTGGATCAGCAGCAAAATTAAACTCAGCACATACGGTGGAGTTTCCTCGGGCTGCAATGCAGAAAATCAAAAATAAAATGATGAGAAGTCACGTCAGACTCAGATTTAATGACTATTCATTTGTAAATGAAGTTTAGGATCAATTCATATTTTTAATGTCAACAAACAATTATGAGCCACCTGTCCCAAGATTATTACATTAAATTAATATTTTATTTTTATCCAGTAAGAATAAATGTTTCCACTCACACTCCGTGTTTCCTCCCATGATGTAAAGCCCTCTGAGTTTGCTCGGCAGAGACGGATCCATCCTCACAGCCAGAGCCAAGTTGGTGAGAGGAGCTGTAGCGACCAGAGACACCTGGGACAGATACGTGGACTCGATAAACACACAAGGAAACAAAATCAGCTGTTTTCTCCCACTCTCACCTCTCCTGGATTCTCATTAACGATCCTGATCATAGCCGACACCGCATTCTCCTTCTGAAGGAGGTCCAGACCAGGAGCGTTTGGGTCAGGAGCGTCTCCCAGCCCGTCCTGACCGTGGAAGTGTCCCGGATCGAGCATATTACCAAGAATAGGCTTATCAGCACCTTTAAACACTGGGATCTGGCAAGAGAAACAAGGTACACACATTCAAACTACAGTAAACAGGTGAGCATTAATCCAGTGTTTCATTTTGCTTCTCACAGAGCCACTGATACAACAGACAGATGTTGTAATAGAAACGTCTTGAAGAAATGTCCTCGTTGGGTCATGTGACCTGAATGATAATCATTCTTTTCACATTATCAAAATTACTGTTGTGCAAAAATCTGAAAATCTTTGCGGGTATTTAACATGTTTTAAGCAGATGCCAACATAATGTTGAAACTGAGACACAGATTCTGTCTTCTTTTTGTTTGTGCAAAGTTCTGAGTCGAAAGCTTTGGGGTGAATATTATTTATCTTAAAAATACGATCAATAGTCATCATGCCCTAAAAATAATAAAAGGACTTTTGTTCCAACCTCTAGCTGGTTGCAGGCCTTTAAAACTCTCAGTGTGTTCCTGCACACATTCTCCACCGTGGTGTTTCCGTGCACGCAGGTGACCCCCAGGACAGTAACGTCAGGAGCACCCAGCGCCAACATGATGGCCTGAGCATCGTCCACACCACTGTCCACATCCACCAGCAGCTTCTTACTCATCCCACACCCTGCAGAGAAAATGTAATCTGCAGTCTAAGAGGTTCTACTAAAATGTGCAACCAACAGTGTCACAGTAACAGCAAACGCATAAAAAATACTTCTTACTTTCCTCCTGACTGTTTTGAAAAAGCTGCCACTGCTGCTCAGCACTGCTCTGTCTCCACTGTTCACTTGGTGTCAGTTTCCTCTTTTTACGAACCGACGACATCAAAGGTAAAAATGTTTTTCTCTATGTGAACAAACAGATTTGCGTGATAAGTGCATACAGTGTACATTATTAAAGTGTTACATTGATAATACCAACCTGTTGCTGAGTGGCTACCCTGTAGTGAGTTCCTCTGACAGACTGGAGCCAACAAAGGTTAGAGGGCAGAAACCTTTGAGGGGAAAAAGGTGAAAGAAACCGGAAACACTGTTTAAAACACAAATCATTGTCTAATGTTTGATGTATGATGGAGGTCATATGATAATCAGCCTCAAAAATATAATAAGATGTATTCTTTTAATTATTTATGCTGTAAAATTTAATTGATGGCTTAAAAACAAGTTATAATAGTTTGATGACTAAATAAAGCTAAAATGTATAAAGTGAACTACTTCCGATCTTTGCAGCGAGACGTACAATTAGATCTGAATGGGTTTAGTTAGCGTTCATTTTTACAATGGCATCAATAAAACAGTTTCGACTGAACTGAACGCTCATTCATTCCCTCAAAGACAGAAAACACGTGGACTGATCTAACTGGAGCAATATTACATCACTTCCGCCAACCGCCCGGGTTGATACTTCCGTTCCGCTCTTTTACAGTCTCTGGTTCTGACTGGAAACATAATTCGGTACAACAACGCCAAAACAACGTTTGGAGTTAAACTAGTATAATAGTGCTTCATTAAAATTAAAAAAGACCACATTCTATGTCTTTAAAGAAAGACGTTTAAAGATACGGAAACTGGGGGAAAAAACTCAAGTTTCCTTAAACAGACGATAAAACAGCAGCTAAATGGTAAATGAGGTTAATTCAGTGTGAAACCTCACGGTCACTTATTCAGCTTTTACGTCGTGGAGTGAATGTGAAGCTTACCTCAAGATAAAAACTACTCCAGGAACAGACCCCAGGAAACCGCTGAAGTTCGTTTTCATCTTCTTTTCCTGCTCCTGCCGGTACGCCTTCCTCTCCGTTTGTAAAACAGCGCCACCTACCGGGCTAGAGGACGCGTACATGCCAACCTGTAGAATGTGTCATTTTTTAGTATCTGAACAAAATGTGATAGTTCAAAAATTTTTATGCAGGTTAAATTTAAGATTTTTAGAATTCATTTTGGTGACATATTTGAGCATCTTTCGGCCGACTTGTTTTGTAACTGAGACTGCAATTACTTTAGTATTTTAAAACGAAACATGCATTTTTAAACAACCACCAGATTTTATGTACACGGCCCCGCACATAAACCCTGTTTTAATTGTGCTTTTAGCTAAATTAAAGACACCAATAGAGTGAGTCCCCGAGTCCCAGTGCTGCAGACACAGCATTTATTTAATAATTTATTTACAAACACTACTTCTAACTATTGTAACATAAGTGCAGTTCCTCTTGTCTTCTCCTCTCCTCTCAAGATAACCAAACATAAATAAAAAATTTCCAAGTTCATTTAAAACATGAGATATAAATGGATGTTCTCTTCTAAATATTTACCATAACCAAAGTGTAGTTCCAGATGTCTCCACTTGGGGGGATATTTCATATGAGTGACGCTGACGCTGTACCTAGCAGGGTTTAGCACTTTTGACTCCATATAAATTATGTCTATGTTCGACTCCACACGACCATTGTTTCTAACGCTGTTACATAAATAGTTTTCAGTGTGTTTTTAGCGGAATAGAGACAAATAGAAAAAAAGACCTGCGTTTTATTTTGAAAGACGTTACAGGAACTGATTCTATTAATTATAGTAACTTTATAGATTTTGTTCCATCTTCTCCCTATCCTCCTCCTTAATATTAATACTCCTAAAAGGACTACACAAAATGTGAGGATTTTTTTACCAGCTTCACAGAGAAAATTAATCTAAAATGATCTTTTTACCAGAACCAAAGAGCAGTTCCTAGTTGTCTCCACTGGAGGGCGACAACTCCCCTCTTCATTCTTATAAAGTCAATAAAATCTCTGAGTTTGACGCCCTGTAATTAGCTCAACAGATGAAGAATGGGAAAGCTTTCCATCTTTCTTTATGGATAAAGTCAATAAAGTTAGATCTAGCATCTTTTAAAGCTTTATGCCTGTTCCGACTCCATCCCGTCATTCTAGATGGTTTCTCTGCCGTTTCTCTGCCTGAGCCAAAACCCTCTGCCTGCCACCTTGACATCTCACCCCCATCTTTGTTTAAAAATGCTTGTGGCCCCTGCTTATTTTAAGAATCTTGCTGTTGTCCGCTGATTGCTGGAGACAGGCACCAGAACTAAAAATCCTAACTGAAACTAGGATAAAAGTACCTGCTAAACTAACCCACACAAGCTTTAATACAGGTACAAGTGTCGATTCATAATTATGCAGAATGTCCAGACTTTGCCCTTTTTACTTCAGCTTTTTTTATTTGAAAACTTTTAAGAGATGCATTCAATCGCATTTTAGCTTAGCACATGAAATCTGTCTTGGTGGATTAAATGAAACAAGAGGAATGCCGAGAAACATATTATCTAACTAAAATAACAGTTCTGGAGCTCACAGAGCTCTGCAACACAAAGAGGCTAAATAAGGCTTTACTGCATGTTGATAGCATGAAAAAATAGATCCAGTCTCTTCCATAACCTGCAAATAAAAACAGCACTTTTGTTTAAATGTGTGATATGTGGGCCACATCAGCTCTGTCTCTTGTCTTCTGACACAGATAAGAAGATACTCAAGAGTCACTCTTCTTGATTGTTCTGTTGATTCTTTGTTGTCACACTCTGATGGCGCCTAAAGTTGCCCGTCCTCAGGTCTGAACGTCAAAGGGACTTTATGGAGTTTTGAATTTTTATGCTTGTGATTGCCCCCTCAGGCCAAAAGCGTAACTGCAGCTTCAATAGTAGGCTCGTGCACGAGGCGCGCATGCTGTACGTGCACACTCCTTAACGAAAATAACAGCTGAGACAGTCCCGTGTGTGTGTGTGTGTGTGTGTGTGTGTGTGTGTGTGTGGCCCGGAGGACAGAGGACAGGAGAACGCACAGCTAATTAATTAATTAATTTGGTTCTGTACCTTTCTCTTCAGCACAGCCGACAAAGGTTTATGATGGGTCAGTCCTCCTGCATGCTCAGATCATTCCCTTCCCTTGCTTGAAAAATTGTTCCAAAATGAAAGTTGAACCCACATCTTTTTTATCTGTGAATTCAATGCTGTTTGGTGAGTCTCAAACAACAGGCAATCACAGTAAAAATGCCAGGGCTCATTCTACAGGACCAGGGCATTGCAGGAGAATGTATGAAATTGTCAGAAATTTATTAATTCTATACATGTTTTGGCCGTCAAACTTCCATAACGTCCCTTTAAACAAACACACAAAGTAAAGGGTAAAGGGCTGGGTAAAGTTGGTCTCCCTCGTTTGCTTCACAGAAAAGTGTGCTTTATTTTTGTTGCTTGTACCTCCTGATGCCACAGCTGAGTCAGACACTCTGCCAGGACGGTGACACAGAAAGCCGTAATATTTACTGACTGTAGCTGTGAATAGTGAGCTCTAGCACTACTGATAGGTGAGGGGAGGGGGGGCTGCTATGAAACAATCAATAGTAGCACTGGCACTTGGACATTAATCATCTTAATATTTAATTAGCACAAAAACAAGATCTGCTGAGTACAGTTGGTTGTTTCTCTTATTTTTTTAGTCTATTTCAAATCCAGTCATTGGTTTCTGAAGACAGTTTGTCCACTTATGTCTCGACCTTCCCGTATGTCCCCTCTGGAGGGCGATACTGTTTGGGGATGGCTTTGAGCTGCAGGGAGTTGAAGGCGTATTTACGACATCCCACATTCTTCATGGTGTTCTCTCTCCTGCAGCCCTCGCTGCAGAGAAGTAGAGATATATAATTAAAATGCTGTTTTGGTGCATTTCTGCTGTGACCTAGTTGCAGAGGGAGCAACGGACCTGCGCATACAATCCAGAGCCTGGTAGAAGACCTGGGGGGCCATGGCGTGTTCCTGCTGCAGGATCTGACACTGTTCCAGGGTCAGAGACATGGCCGTGCGGTCTTTGGCGCTTTTACAGCTGGTGAGCCGCATGCCGTTCAGGCGCCGGCATGCCTTTAAGGTTCAGAGCAACAGATCACTCAGCAAGGAGGCTATTGTTTACTTCCTTATTTTGTTGCAACGTAAAGAAAAGATTAGGTTTACCTCAGCTGCTTGCCACAGAATTTCCACGTTCTTGCTTTTTTTGGCGTTCACATTGTGGCACAGTAGCTTGAGCAGCTCGGGCAGGCTGGTGGAGCTGCGAGAGCGAGGGAGGCCTGAGGAGAAAGACGAGAAACAGCAGGACGTTTGAGAATAAAAAAACCAAAAGAGGTTTTGGAGGTTTCCTGGGCCACTCACAATCTTCTGGAAGGACTTCTTTGAACTGATCGTAGTAGGAACTGAGCCGGCCCATGCTCTCCATGTTGATGGCATCTTGCAAGGTCGTGTCTCCAAATCTGCAAACATGCATTATTAAAAGTTTAGTTCAGCATAAATCTGTAGTGACACTGTGTGGAGCAACAAATCCACATGAAGAATGATGTAAAAATGATTATAATAATGTTTATTTTTGCTTTTTTATTAGTTTACTGCATAAAATCAAAACAAAGGAATCTTCTCTGTGTTTAAACCCTCTGCAGGTTTTTGGTGACTCACTTCTCGGCCAGCGTCTGCTGTTCGTTGATCCCCACGTTGAAGAGGACGGGCTGAACCCGGAGCAGCATCCCGTTCTGGATCTCTCTGGGCAGCGTGTCGAACATCACCCCCGGCATCGGAACCCTGACGTTGAAACCGTTCCTGTTCCCCGTGATCACCGGCAGCATGTCCGGGCTGAAACCAGAGGTCGCCTGGGTAACCTTAAAGGTGACGTTCCTCAGGTCCAACACACCGATGCTCATGTCCTCCAGCATGGCCAACTCCTCTCCTGTAAGAAAGAGGGAGATGCAAAGTCCACAAACACAATAAATGTTTTTTTTCTTTTTCTTGCTAGCAGCCGAAAGGCGGAGAATAATTAAACTGTCATAGAGTCTTCCTCGTACGATGTTCCCCCAATTCCAATGAAAGTCCAATTAAAGATGGCCTCCACAGCTAACTGGTATAGGCAAACACAAAATGGTCAACAGAAAGTACAAAAACATTTATTTTAATTACTTTTGAGATTTGATGCAAAACCTGTTCAGATTAAAAATCTTACAGAAATATTTATGATCACAAATCAATTGCTTTGATTTAGATGGTAGTATGAGCATAATGGTTGTTATAAACGACACGTATGCTCAAGCACGAGTTACCATAAGTGCTGAGGAGGCTCTCAAACTGAACCAACAGGCCGATGGTGGGCAGCTGGCGCAGGAAACCAGGGTCACAGAGACAATTCCTCAGCTTGAGCACGAATCCGCAGATCAGAGCTGTCAGCTGCAAACACACAACTCACATCAGTGCCATTTCCAGTCACGTATGCAACAATTAGACCCGCAGCGTAACACCACACGCCTAAAGGGTGATGGAAGCCGACAGACCGTCTGACAGCAGACCACGTCGCGGCGGTAATGTAGCGTGAGGCTCATGGCGATGGTGGGAGCGCTGTCCTGCATCAGCAGAAACACCAAGGCTTTCTTTGCTTTGTCGCCCATCAGAGACACGCAGTCTGTCAGTGTGGTGAGGAGGGGATACAGCGCGTCGCTCCACTCGCCTGTTTAAGGTCAAATCAAAGCAGTGCTGTTGCATTTAGAACATGAGTTTAGGTAGAAACTCTCTGAAATGTGCAAGAAGTATTTTACTGTGCAGATTTATGCATGTGTGTGCGTTTTGTTCCCAAATACAAGAAGAATTCAATTTAAAAAGTCCCTTAAAACAATCATGTCACTCACCTGGAGACGTCTTTTCAACCACCGGGCTGCTTTCTGGAGAAGAGAAGATATTTAGAACAGATTACACTCCTGCAGAAACAAACAAAAACTGCAGACTTTAAATCCTACATGAATAATTGTGCAATAATAAAAAGCATAAACCCTTCTTGGTGGTACTCGGCTCCTCGTTGGCGAGCAGAAAGACGTCCTCAGAGCTGCTGTCGCTTTGGAGTTTGTCTCTCTGCAGCAGCCGGTCCACTCTCTGGACCACACACTCCAGGCTTTTATCGACATTTAGCCTAACCTTCTCCTAAACACACACACGCACGCACGCACGCACACACACACACACACACACACACACACACACACACACACACACACACACACACACACACACGCACGACTGTAAATAAACACAACAAATAAAGAAACAAATACGGGAAGCGTTTCCACCTTACCCACTCCTCTTCGTGCGAGTCGGCCTGTGTGGAGAAACGTTTGTTCCTACTCCCTTCGCTGCCCTCTGGAGGAGCTGCGTGTTTGGAGGGTGAGGTGGCAGCCCGGGACGGCGATGTGGCGTGACGAGAGGGAGAGCGGGACGGGGAGCGAGAAGAAGGAGAAAGGGAAGAGGAGGAAGGAGACGGGGTGCTTTGATGGGATAACTCTAAACGGGCGGCTGCGAAGGCGGGGATGGCTGAGGAGAGCAGCTTGGAGTCACACACGGTCACCAGCTGACGGGTCTGTAATCAGAGATCAGAATATAATCCTAAGGGGAGCTGATATGTTTAATCAGTAATTTGTGATTTTTTTTTTGTTTGAAACAGTTTAAAAAAAAAAGATCACTGTTGACTATAAGGTTCAATTTAAAGCTGTCGAATAAGAAAAAGGACATTTAGTTAGTATAAAATAAAGCAAAGAAATAAATGATCCCTCCTGTTTCTGTACCTTCTCTGTGAGGATGGACAGAGTCCTCTCCAGAGCGTTGGCTGAGCGCTCCTTGGCAGCTCGAGACAGGCGTTCGTTGTAGTAACACACCTGCGTCTTCAGAGTGTTGATCTGAGCGATCAGCTCCTTGGCCTTAACCACATCCTGAGGCTGGTAGCTCATTCCTTTTGGACCGAATCCAGCAGAACTTTGGATTTGGGCAAATTTAAGAACATGAAAGAGAAAGTTAACGTAAAGCGCAAATGTGCAATGTTCAAGAAACAGCTGCAAGATCTTACCTCTCTTCCTCATAAGTGCTGAGTAAAAAAAAGAGGAGAGAAAATGAAATTATTAAAAAGTAAAAACTAGAATAAAACTGGAGCTTAGCGTTAGCCTCAACCACTCACTGTTTCCTGGCTTCCTCCAGCTTATGCAGCAGTTTTCGGAGGCCGCAGCCTTTCAAGCCTTGATGATGTGCAGCAGGAGCTCCGATGGTCACAACATCATACGTCCAGTCTGATCACACAGAGCAAAGGCAATTTAAAGACAACATTGAGGATATTAAGTCAAATGTGGGATTAAAACTCCTACCATAACCAGTCTCTCCCTGAACTCTCATCCTCTGGATGTGGAGGTTGGTGGGGATGAATTCCAACTTCCTCTCAGCTTTCAAGGTGCTGGACTTAAACGAAGGTCCTGGGAGGTAAAACAGCAAAGAGAGGAAAATGGGTTTTAATAAATATGTGAAGTAGTGAAATACTTTAACACAAAATACAGCCTAGTGTCTCACTGCTTTGGGAACATTTCTTATCCTGCTTTAGAATTTTAAAGCTGGTGGATGTTTGTTTGTTTAAGGAATAAAATATTTTTTATAAATATCTACAAATCAGTACGGTTATGAAAAATAAAGATGCAATATGTAAGAATGAAGTAAGAATGACATCCTGTGGTCAAAATTGGTTACAGCTATCAAAAGTTTTCTCACTAACGTTCCGTGAGTTTCGTGGCCGTTTCCAGGGACAGATCAGCACCAGAAGATTCTAGATGACAAGTTAAGACGGGTCATTCACAGTCAGCTGATAAGTACATAAATATGTTGTTATATCTGGTGGTGTCAATACTCTTGGGTGTTTTACAGTAGTGAGCACTTACTACACTTATTACAGTACTATCTCTCCAGCATTAGAGGGAGCCTAAGTCACTTCCGCACCGTGGGTCCCGGGAAGAACGAAAACATGAATGCAGGTCAACGGGGCTAAAAACGCTATTTTCTAACTCTGCTTGTTTTGTGCCATGAATTTCACATATGATGTCCGTGAATTCTAAAGACACATTTTGATACCAAGAACGTGCTTATTTTCTAACGGGGGGGTTGGAGGTACCATAATTTTAGGTTTTATGTGAAAATAAGTCCAGGACTACAAATGCGCTTCATGAAAGCGACGTCATCGAACCAGACACGGAGAAAACTGAAGGAAAATGGCTGTAAGTTCAGCAAACTTCCCACAGGATGAATCTGGTCATTTGGTAAGTAGCAGCTACGTTAGGAGAGAGGACATTATGTGGTGACATCACATATGCAACGTGCCGATTTCTGGTGTGTAATCGTGCTAATTACGAACTTTTACAAGCCAATAAATCTCAAAGTACATGACTGGCATGGTCGAAACACCCATCATTACTTTTCATTTAAATTGCAGTACAACATATGTGCAATCCAGGGCGTAAGGCAAAGTGGGTTAGAAAATAGTGTTTTTAGCCCCGTTGACTTGCATTTGTTCTTCCGGGGACCCATGGCACAGAAGTGACTTAGGCTCCCTAGAGGATGAGTGGTTGTTTACTATCTTGCAGTTAGCTTGCTGTTCTAGCTTTGAACACCACAATCGACCTATTATTCACTTCACACATAAATTTCACAGTAATATAAAATAGTTTGTAATTGAAAAAGTAGCTATAGATATTTTTAAATCTATTGGCTTTTAATTCACTGTTAGCATTGTAAACTTAACACTAGCCTCTAGCCTGATTCACCTGATATTTGAGTAAAGAAAAAGATGCAGTGGCTTCTTAGGGGTACAAGAAATAACTTCTGTGTCGCTCCTGTTTACTGGCTTCTGTTCTTTAAACAACTCTGGAGCTTCCAGTCAGGTTTTCGTAGAGCTCATTCTACTGAAACAGCTCTTCTTAGGGTCTCTAATGACCTTCTCACTCACAGTGATGCAGGGGACTGTTCTGTTCTGGTCCTGTTGGACCTGACTGCAGCCTTTGACACTGTTGACCATCACCTGCTACTGGAGAGGCTGAGAGACCGGGTAGGCCTATCAGGATCTGCTCTGGAGTGGTTCTCCTCTTATCTCTCTGAGCGCTCCTTTTCTGTGGCCATCTACAAGTTTAGGTCCTCCACCACCTCTCTTACCCATGGTGTCCCACAAGGTTCTGTGCTGGGGCCTCTACTCTTCCTCCTCTATCTGCTTCCTCTTCAGCACATCCTGAGCTCCTTCAAAGGAATCTCCTACCATCTTTATGCAGATGACATCCAACTGTATATCTCCTTTAAGCCCCATGAGATGTCTAAGCTGCAGCTGTTACACACCTGCTTAGACTCTATCAAAACCTGGATGGCTGGGAGCTTTCTTCAGCTGAATGAAAATAAGACTGAGATCCTCATCTGTGCCCCAGACAAGCTGGTTCCCAAAGTCAGAGACTCTCTTGGTCAGTTTGCTTCTCACACCAAACCTTCCGTCAGGGATCTTGGTGTGACCTTTGACCCAGCTCTCACCCTGGATTCTCAAGTCAGTTCTCTTGTTCGCTCTTCCTTCTTCCATCTCAGGAACGTTGCTAAGCTGAGTCCCATTCTGTCCCGCTCTGAACTTGAGACAGTTATCCACACCTTCATCTCCTCACGCTTAGACTACTGTAACTCTCTTTTCATGTGTCTGAGCAGAACCTCCCTGAACCGTCTACAGGTGGTTCAGAATGCCTGTGCTCGGCTTCTGACCAAGTCCTCCAAACACATCCACATCACCCCGCTTCTCCTCCAGCTTCACTGGCTGCCAGTCAACTTCAGGGTTCATTTCAAGATCCTGGTTCTGGTCTATAGGGCCTTACATGGACAAGCACCATCTTACATTGGTGATCTTCTTAGTCCCTACACCCCCAGCAGGTCCCTGAGGTCCAGTGATCAAAGCCTACTGGTTGTGCAGCACCAGGCTAAAGACCAAAGATGACAGATCATTTGCTGCTGTGGCCCCCAGACTCTGGAACTCTCTCCCCCTGAGCCTGAGATCAGTGGACTCAGTGGTCTCCTTCAAAAAGCAGCTGAAGACTCACTTGTTCAAGCTGGATTTTGTATGACCTTCTTCACCACTCTCTCTTTATTCTGCTCTCCCCACCTATTCCACCTTCCTCAGGATCCGCTGATTTCCCTCTTTCCTATTCACTCTCTCTCTTTCTTAACATTTTTTTAATCACAATTGTCTATTTTTACTCATTTAAAATATATTTTTGAACATTTTCTAAATGCTTTTTTATATTTTTCCATTTTTTGTTTTTGTGAAGCGCCTCGTGATTTTTATCTTGAGAGGAAATGATATTTTCTTCTTCTTTCTTCTTCTTTTTGCCTGCTAGTATTGACTTACTAATGTCTGTGCTGCAACGTTAGCTCAGTGCAAATTCAGCTAATCTCACAGGCACCGATTGTAAACAGAGAAAAACCGACAGCCCCCAGCTGACTAAGAAGGAAATTTGTTTCAATGTAACGTTTCTTTTAACATGCCTGAGACATTAGGCTGTTTGTCATTATTTCACTGTAAAATGTCTTTAAATGACATCAGATAAGTCTGTTATCTCAAGTATTTAGCAGAGTTTTAAACATAATGCTTTTTGCAAAGCCACAGTTTTTGCAACATCAGTTGCCACGACAACCAGATTTAAACCTGTTACTGCAAAGCGCTGTGACGGACCGGCAACCTGTTCAGGGTGTACCCCCCCCCCCCCCCCCCCCGTGTTCCCAGAGGCTGCTGATGGGCACCAGCCCCCAGCAACCCTGCATGGACAACTGGGTGGAAACTGCAAAGCATGTTTGTGTTTCTAACCTTTGTATTCATGCAAGTCACTTATGGTCTCCTGGTATGTGAGGATGATGGTCTGGTACTGAGTGATGATCTGCCTCCTCAAGTTCTCCCAACATGGAGAAAGCTCACCTAGTTCTTCCAGCTCACACACCCTATGCATCACACACACACACACACACACACACACACACACACACACACACACACACACACACACACACACACAGACCTGGATTAGACATTTTCTCACGTTGACCTCTCATTTAAACAAAGAAGTTGGATCCTGATGTTTTGATGCTACCTGACAGCGTCCTCTTCCAGCAGCAGCTTGACAAACTGTCGAGGAATATGCAGAGAGAGGACACTTTCTGCCATCTGCTCCAGGACGCGCAGGTGGTTTCCATCTGTGGTTGGGAAACGGTACGTCCGAGACATGACGCCCCCAAAAACTGGAACAGATACGGGATAAAAATAAACAAGGCAGCTACGAGCCACCTGAAACTCGTGGTCATGGTAACGGCTGGTTGCTCACCTGCTTTCAGCATGGGATCTTTGCATAGAGATGAGGACATGGACTTGATGCTCATGGATCCGGTCAAGCTCTCATCCACTGGCAGAACCATCTAACAAAATAAAAACCAAAATATACAATAACATCCTATTCATCATAAAGTGTTTATTTTAAAAAAGGATGAACTTTTATTGCTCACTCTGCCGCTGATCGTTTCCCCCCTCTGTAATCTCGCCACCGGCGCCCTCTGCTCGCGCTTCTCCTCGATCTGCCAGGCGATGATGGTGATGCTGCCCACGCGCTCATTCTCAGCTGACCTGACTCACAGCGACACCAAGTCAGAATCTGCAGATCGGGCGTCACGCTTAAGTGATGACGGTGTGCGTTTTCTGCCTGATACCTGAGAGTCAAGTGCAGTTTGTGGTTTTTGTCCTGCAGCAGCTCTTTCACCGAAAACATGGACGATCCCAGCATGTACATCTGTCACAGAACAATGGAGGATGTAGAGGATCTCATCCAGATACGTTTAGGTACATGAATTATGTTAAGTCCAACTCTCGGGTTACCGTTCCCTGTGAGCGGTCCTTTACGTCGTAGACAGAGAGCTTGACTTGAGTCTGCTGAGTGATGAGAGAGTCCTGAAAGAACGCTACGCTGCTCAGGAAGATGGGATTGCTGGTGCCCTGAAAACGCACAGACAGGTGAAAGTGTTGGAAGGGTTGGGAAGAAGGCAGGAAGCAGAGCCAGTCGTGGTTGTGTACCTCTATGACTTCAGTCTGAGCATGTTTGGTCCAGAAGGCCTGAGGAGGAGTGGTGCAGCTGATCGCCACAAAGCTGGACGGTTTACGGTCCAGCGAGGGAGTGACCAGCTCGCTGCAGGCTGCAGGGACATAAAACAGTAGAGGTTACCACTAACCTGAGATTTATGGTTGGAAACTAATCCCTGGAGATAGAGGGGCTGTGATACAGGATGTCTGAGTCGACACACTGAACAGCAGAACTAAACAGTTTTCTCCTGAGTTAACTCCTATGTAGGAAGGATGCACCGATATGAAGATGTGGCCCGATATCGATGTCTGACATTAATATTTTTATGGCTGATAACTGACATATATTACATTAACATAACAATTATTTTATTGCCTTTTTGGTATTTCACTCAAATTTATACAACATTTATACATTAGAGTTTGTCGACTTGAGCTTGAAAATGAAGACACACATGAAAATTTTTTTATTTTAGTAGATTTTTAAAGGAAAACATCCTCCATTGTTGTCTATACAGAACAAAGACGAGTGAGTCATGGCAGGAAAACGGCTGTGGCTCAAATTCTGGCATTTTAACCACAGCAAAAACTTTTCTTTGTGTGTCTAAAATGTAATATCATATTAAAAATCAGCATCTCATTGGATAAAAACAGGAATCATGTCACCAGCGAGGCAAAAACACAAGAAAATGTGTATTTCTGCCAGCAGCTCACAGCTGTTACTTAAACTTGCTGCAGGGGGAAGATCCTGGCTTGATTTTCTAATTGGTGAAGAGTTTTATTCATGTAAAAAATAGAGACCATCAGCTCCTGGAGGGCTGCTTGGATGTAACCTCATAAGTGCAATGGCGTCACCAAGGGGTGGTCAGGGGTGGCCATGGCCACCCCTAGAAAATTGCTGATTGCCCCACTGGCCACATCCAGGTAAAACCAGCATTCTTTAAAAAGTCATGTTAATGTTCACATAAACCATAAATTTATTTATGTTTTTTCAATGAAAATGAATAAATGAACATTCATTGCATCACTACAGGCTAAACTTTCTCATAGTTACCGAGGATCAATTTGGTGTGCCACCCAAAATTTTCTCTGGCCCCACGGCCACCCCTATGAACCTCTAAAACCTCCATCTTGCAGGTTTTAGATGTTTCTTTGCTCTCACACACCTGATCAACATGTGATTAACAGGCTTCTGTAGTTGAAAACAATTAGCTCACGCAGGATGAAGGCCCCTGAGGGCCAGGAGTGGACATCCCTGCTGCCTGTCTGTTCTCCACATCAAAGCTGCTTTTGAATCAAAGCAAAGAGATTTAAATGTGATGAGGCAGACATGTTTTACTCGTCTTTTAATTTTATGTATGGTGTCCTATTATGTCATGGCGTCATATAAGCCACTTTTCTTTGATGAGTAATATTAAAATGTATGTTCATTGGTTGCCCTGCAATGGACTGGCTCTCTGTCCAGGGCATACCCCGCCTGATTGCCCATTGACCGCTGGAGATAGGCACCAGTGCCCCCCCACCCCCCCACCCCACCCCCCGACCCTACGTGGACAAAGCGGGTTCAGACAATGGATGGATGGATGTTCATTGGTCGTTTTCTGTCAGCTGATCAATCTGCAATCTGTTCAACAGCATACTGATGAAAGTTCAGGACTCACCCACGCTGAACTCCAACACCGGCTCGTCTGGATCTTGACTGTTTCCTGCAAAAAATAAACCACAAACATTTGATTTCTAGTGTTAAAACTCTGCAACTGCATCATCCTCCATGAAATAAGGAGGTTACCATGGCGCCGGTTACTTAATTACCTGAAAGAGCGAGCCCCATCATCTCAGCAGAGAGATCAAAGGTGTTGGCCCGGTAGACGGACCACGGCCGGTGGCGGGGGCTGCGCTCCTTCCCAGACATGGTGGGCTCACGTCGGGGCTGAGGGTGGATGTTAGTGGAAGGAGAAGACTGATGCTGAACAGATACTGTCCTCTGAGATTTATTTATATATAAACTCCTATTTGTACGTTCAGATGCTTCTCAGTGTTAAAGCTGAAAGAAAAACAAAAAGATTAAAGAATTAAACTTTGATCCTTTTCGTTCGACAGCTGAGCTAAAAATAAATAGTGTTACTTCGGTTGCAAAATGACCACACGGCGCTAAAATAGTAAGTTGTAAATCAGCTACGCTTCACTCTGAGTTGAACTAAAGTATATCTTGACTTTTAGAGGCGTTAACAGATGCGGTGAGATAAATCTCACAGTGAAAAGTGAGACTTTTCACACAGCTGTGGGGTCTGAAACGCTGCAGGAGACAGAACCTACAGCTTCCGATGCTTTATGGGATCATTTCTGCTGCATCCAGACACAAAACCACAACAGAAGGTTTTTTCTTTTATCTATGAAGATAAGAAATACAGTAGAGCTTTTTTGTTATGATTTTATCGTAGTCTGCTGGAAATCATCTGAGCGTTAGCTTGATCAAAGCCAAGCTTCAGTATTTTGCAGCACAAAACTAAGACTATATGGGTACAAAAGGAATTTCATCACCTCTTTCTTATAATTTTATACAGATTTTCTTTTTTTTTTTTACCAATTGGCTGTAGCAAAAGATCAAATGAATAAAATAATAAAAATCCACAAACCAGTCTGCAAACCATGAATATGACCAATAAACGTGATGTTAAACAGCAGGATGAACTCTGGATGATAGAAACCACTGATCTTTATGGAGAGGATTCATGTTTTCACTATTTATCTGTTAAGAATTTCTCCCAGAAACTAAAGATCAAACCAATAATGTTTATTATCTCAACAAATATCCCTCAACAAATACGCTGGTGTTGTAAACTGGGGCTGACGATGCAAACCCTGCAGAACATAAGGAGGCTCACTGGGAGCAGGAAACCAACGCTGTGCCAAGTGTGTCATTAGATTTGGCCGCACCAGAATATTCATCAGACCGTTTGGCTTCGTGTTTCAGTACTAATGTCAGAAAATAAAACGTTACTAGGCATCATCTGGTTCTATAACCACCTTATGTCACATTTAAAGAGTTATAACTATGGATAATTCACTTTTGTTTTTCATTAATTTTCTTTGTTTGTTGAGTAGAATGTCAGAACATGGCCAATGAAGTGCATCTATGTCATGATTTTTATATTAATAATTTTTTTAGAGGAAACAAAACACCTTCAAATCAAGCACATATCAGACAGGGATCTTCAGTTTGATCAGATGTCAGATCATTTAACTTTATTCTAACAAAATATGGATTATTTTAGAAAACAGCTACAAATAGAGAGTATAAAAAAATGACCCAGCAGGTGGTCTGATGGTGAATTTGAGTTCCTGAAAGATAAATGTCTACACGTCAGCCTCCATTAGCTTCCTGTTTTGGTTTATGCGTCCCTGTGAGCATCAGACTGATTCAAATTTCCTCCTCCCTCGCCTCCCTCGCACACACAGACCTAAATTTGTCACAGTTTTCTTATTTCTGGTTGTCTATTTCATGCGTTCGTGCGTAAAAGATCTCTGCACTGAAGTTCTATTTTTAACCCTGACGTCACACCACACGTGCAGATGAAAACGCTGTCTCCCAGTGACACACACAAACCACACACACACTCAAGTGCTCTCCACACAATCCGGAGAGCGTGATGCTTTCAGCCAGTTTAATCTCTGTTTTGGCTCTTTTGTGTCGGACTGGAACAGATGGCTATTCCAGCACGGAGGCTCTGCCTCATTACGGCTGCTGTGTCAGTGGGAGACGTCTTCTAACGCGCTGTAATCTCTGCCACCTGCACGGTGGGAAGCTCTATAGGACATCAAGACTGGGTCTAATGTAAAGCCACAGGGAGGACGATCTTCATCTCATCTCACACTCATCACTTACACACACCCACTGCTTTTAAAGGGAAACAATTTGGAGCAATTCTTCATTTCCTGTTTGATTAATGAGGCAAATCTGGGTGAATCTTTAGTTTTGCGTCATTATTGAATGAGCATGCTCACATAATCTGTTAGCTGCATCAGAAGATGCTGCATTTTAGGATTTTAATAAATATAGACAGATAATTAATAATCATAACTTAATGAGTATTTTCATTAGAAAATGGTTTACTCTGTTGGAGAACTGTCACAAAACCAGTGAAACATCATAATTACTTCAAGAAAATGAGTCAAAGCCTGAAGCAATTCAAATGTGTTCCTCATTACTAATAAACTGAGAAGTTTTTTTTTGTTTCCAAAATATTGTATAAAAATCAATTATTTATTCAGACCAATTGTCTCAGTTTATAGATGGTTGATGTTTGGAGTAAATCTTTTAATATCTGCAATTAGCTGCTCTAATCTGTTCCCCATAAAAATGTGTAGAACCCACTAATTTATTTGAAATCAGATAAAGAAATAAATTAAAATATTTAACTATAAAATGATTTGTTTATATATTTAAAAGCTGATAAGCTAATAGGACCTTTTATAATTTTTCACCTGTAATTCGTAAACAAACTGTCATCAGTTCTAACCATAATTTTTTTTGTGTGTGTGTGTGTCCTGTCTGGCTGTGAAGCAAGCAGAATTGATGTCTGAATGCTGGTAACAAGCCTTACAGATTTACTCTCAGGTGGAGCATCAAAGCGTCTGCTTTTAATGTCACGCCTGATACTTAAAACTTTATTGTTATTGTTTTTGAATGCTTTGTAATTCCGACCAGACACGGAGACAGAGGTGAAAGAGAAAGGAAAAGAAAAGGTGGGGAGAGAGGGGAGGGGGGGGGGGTCCACAAAAATAAACAATAATGAACAAGAGTCTGCTTCTAGACCTGCAGAAAAAGACAAAAAAAGAGCAAAAGAACAAAAAAATGGGACACAACAACAATACAACAAGATCAAGCTATTACTGAGTCAACTTGATGATGAAATATATAAACAACATTGTTTGACTGAAGAATCACGATAATAAATCACAGTGCATTAAGTGCCCACCATAGTCTTAAGACCTGTGTTGAACGTGCCCAAGGCCATACTTTTGAGAGCACCATGTGAGCACCTGTGTGTGTACACATGCTTGTTTATGTAAGGTTTCTCTATAGGAGCGTCCAACAGAGAGTGTGAGGGACCACAGATCTGCCCCCCAAAGATGCGCAGGAGACGGGGGGGGGGGGGGGGGGGGGGGGGGTTTCCAAATCCCAGAGATCCAGGCGCTGCCCCAGAACACAGGAAGCCCAAGGAGACTGCAACCAGAAAGCACCCCCCCCCCCTCCCCCCACACACCTCGAGAGGCACAGAGGATCGCCCCGGGGGGCCACAACCAGCAGCCGGCAGAGTCCCGGAAGATATCAGCGGCAAGCCCACAGGCCCGCCCGCAGCCTCCCACCCCCTAGCCGGCCGAGCCCGGGACCCAGCGACCCGGGACCCAGGGGCGACCACCCCCGCCGAGGACCCAGCAGAGCCCAGGGACCCAGACCCCACCAGGCAGCCACCGAGATTGATCAGGCAGACGCCAAAAATCTTAAACCCCCTGACCCGGTTGCCACGAACACTCAGGCAGACCAAGGCACAACCCCTCACACCATGTGTGGCAGGGGGGAGGGGGGGGGGGGACGACGACGAAGATCTATATCATCAAAAGAAGTTCCAGGAGAAGAGAGGAGTCAAAGGCCCCACCTGACATATACAGTCACACACTCCCTCCCTCATGCTCACACATGCACATACAACCAAAGACTTACAAAAGTGCACGCCGGACACCCACTCATGCTCCCCATACACACCCTATTCACTCTGGTCCCGGTACTGCTGCACATGGGGTACAACCATCACCGATTACCAGAGTTTGACCCTTTCTGCTGGGGTGCTGATGAGCGGCACAGCAATCCACCAACTATAAAATGATTTGTTTATATATTTAAAAGCTGAGAAGCTAATAGGACCTTTTATTATTTTTCACCTATAATTCGTAAACAAACTGTCATCAGTTCTAACCATAATTTTATGAAACAGGGTGTCGTGAATACAGCAAAAACGTGTGTCCTGACTGGCTTTATGGCTTTTATTTTGAAGGTGAATTCTGACCTAAAATCACCTCTGTTTTGTTTCCTGTCCACTTAAAGGCTTGTGGAAAATAAAAGCAGTAGGAAGATGATGAAACAGCGAGGAACACACATTTAGGTGGTTTGGTTTCCACTGAGATGTTCTGAGGACAAAAGTGACCCAGTTGGTTGTAGCTCACAGCTGTCTCCCTGCAGATGCTGTCAGCACCAGCTGCACCACAGCTTCTTTCACATCCCTCTAAACCACTCTCAAATACCTCGTCTGCACTTTACTCATCCTCACCTTCATTTTCAGCCTCCCCACATGGACACGTTTATATCGAATTGATCTGGATTCAGGCCGTTCTGCTGACCTGTGCTGGACCTGCTGAGTCCGTGTTCAGAAATTTCTCACTTTAGTAAACAAGATTGAGGATGAGGAGTACATGTGAAGAAGACAAATATAAAATAGCATGAAAGAATCCTCTAATGGTGAGGAGAACTAAAATATGTGAATGAAATGTTTAATATTTAACCAAAAGTCTACAGAAGAAGTTGCATTATTTGCTTTAAAGTCCACCTTAATGACATTCTAATACCACAGGAATCAACGTAAAGCATATTCATAAAAACACAAGTGATTTAACAGATCAGATTGACTCTTATTTCACTGATGGTAGCACCAGGAAGGCCTTCACTGGCTGACATGTTGGTATTTGTGAAATTGCAAATCCTTTATATTAAAAACATAAAGTATTTGTTTCAACAATCTACTAAATAATAATGATGATGATGAGTCGATCTGTTTGTTTAACATGCAGGAGTAAATATTTCCTTATGGCAGCGATAGCCCGGGCCGTGGCTGCTATCATGCTTAAGTCTTTCCATATTTATTCACGGACAATAACAATAATTGCGTCATGCTATCTGCTGATGCTCCATTCAAGCTGCCGCATCGCCCTGCTGCACATATTAAACACACCATAAGTACAGCCCTTATTTCAGGTCTTGCTGTAAACACATCTCGGTCTGATCAAGCTGCGAACTGAGGATTTTCATAGCATCTCTCCCTTAGAATAAACGCCCCTCGATGTAAAACCATCATTATGAACGTTAAATGAAAAGAAAACGGCGTGTAGATTACATAAATGAGCAGAAACCCTCCTACCGTTCGGAGAAAAGCGAAGGTTTCTTTTACTGATGCGCATCCTGGTTGGAGCGGCTGCGGTTGCAAGAGACTCGCCCTGACTCCCTCTGACACATCCTCAAACCTCCGAGGAGCGCAGTGCTCCATCCGTCCGCTAGAGGCCGCTGTCGGAAAGCACGACAACACCTGCGGTGCTGCTGCAAATAAAAACTGGGATTTACAACGTAAACGTGAACATTTCAACCAGAAGTACAGATTTAGTTTGAATACACTAATTTCATGAAAATATATGATGGACTAAATGAAGTTAATCTCAAAAACACACATTTCTGTCAGAAATAAAGCGGGTTAGAGTTGCCCACAAATATATAAATTACATTTTACACTTTTGTCTCCAATAATAACCATATTACTGTGACTGTAGCCACACCACCGATTTCTCACGCTGAAAAAAAGCGAATCTGTCTGAGCTACAGTGCATCACGCTACTGCACCTCCTCAGAAACACTAGTTTTATTTTGTGACGGTTCCACTATTTTTTTAATTAATTGTTTTGATTATAGCCTACAATTTGTTAAATTGCTCTACATTACCCACAATCCCCTGCGAACAAGTGAATAAATAAATCAGTGAGGCTTTTTGTGTGAGTTTGGAAACTTTGACTCTGGTCGAAACTCATGAATCCCACAGAAACAAAAGAAGTTCCACTTTTTTTACCTGCTTTTGTGACCGTGACATCCAATAAGCGCAGCGCTCTCGACCGCACCCTGGCTGTATAGCTCGCGCGCGCAGGTGCAGGTGTTCTTGTCCTCAACAACTCTACAGGAAAACCGCATCTCTGCTAAAGACTCTGATTTTAAGTGGAACATCATAAAGATGTCAACTTTCTGAAAAGAAGTCGAGTTTTTCTTTTTTGTGGGTGTGAAACGGGATTAAAATATAATTTCACACCGACCTGGAGGAGATCCACAGGAAAATGGACACAATGGATTTCAGCTTCACCAGACAAGCTGCTGCGTTTCTGATCGTCTGCTCATGTCTGTGTGTCTCAGCAGAAGTCTCGACCCCAGCAGGTGTGACGCTCCTGCCTCCTGTCCAACCTGAAAATGGTCCCCAGTCCTACCCAAATGCCAAGAAATCCAATTTACCTGTGTTTACAATCAACTACTCAAGAATCCAGATACCATTTGAGATCACTCTGTGGATGCTGCTGGCTTCCTTTGCAAAAGTTGGTGAGTAACAAAAACTCAAAATGTGAATCAGATTGTTTTCTTCAAAGTACAGCATTTTTATTGACCTGTGCTCCAAAACCAGGTTTCCATGTTTACCATAAGATCACCATTTGGGTTCCTGAGTCCTGCCTCCTCATAAGCATCGGTTTGATTGTGGGGGGCATCATGTACTCAGTCCATGAGGAGCCCCCCGCTGTGCTGAGCAACAGTGTCTTCTTCCTCTACATATTACCCCCTATGGTCCTCGAATCTGGCTATTTCATGCCCACCAGACCTTTTTTTGAGAACATCGGCACCGTATGTCCCAGATCTCAATTTTCTCTTCTGGGTTGCTCCTCAAATGCATTAAAACATCCTCATCCCCGTTTTCTGTACAGGTGTTTTGGTTTGCAGTGGTGGGGACCCTGTGGAACAGCATCGGCATCGGGATCTCTCTTTTCGGCATATGTCAGATTGAGGCTTTTGGCGTTCAGGACATCAACCTCCAGGAGAACCTTCTGTTTGCCTCCATCATCTCTGCCGTGGACCCCGTGGCCGTGCTCACTGTCTTTGAAGACGTGTCTGTCAACGAGCAGCTCTACATTGTGGTGTTTGGAGAGTGCCTCTTTAATGACGCCGTCACTGTGGTGAGTTGTTGCTGGCAGAGATTACTCGCAGCTTTATTTTTGTGAATCCATGCCCATCAGTGCTACTTTTAGGCATGAAAGCAATAATTGTCCTTAATTTTACTGTGAAACTTACATGTTGCCCTGCTCTAGATACATCTAGGTCACCTTTCAAATGCTCCAGAAGACCAACAAATGACTAATGTTTTACAAATTTTAGAGTTTACCGATTTGTTGTAGTCCCAAAATGATCTAAATTGATCTAAAACCAGTGCTTTACTTCATAAAGATGCCACTTTAGCTCCACCTCCTTCTCGATGCTGCTTAACTTCAACACAGAACAAAAAACTGACCCATTATTCTCCTGCGGCTTTTCTTCTATGCACAAAAGCTTTGGGTCAAATTTCTCTTTAAAAGAAAAATGTCTTCGATTTCTAGGTTATAGTGCTTTGATAGGGAATAAAATGTGCGTTGGAGAAAGATCTCTGAGCAGATAAATAATAAACCAGGAAAAAGAAGAGGAAGTGAGGGAATAGAGACATGAAATAAACATGCACACACTAAGGGTTTGTTCAGACGCTGCCAAACCAGGTTCTGAGGTGACAGTAACATGTAACGAGGGAGGAGTCCTCACATGAACATGTTGCATGACTGAAGTTCAACCCTCCCTGCCTGCCGTGTTCTCCGTGTTTTGTGCTCGAACACGTAAACATGAACTTTGTGCAAACATGCGTGGAGATGAGGGCTGACCGATGTGTTGAGCAGCTTTTACAAAATCTAATATCTAAATGAAACACTTTTGATGTTAAAGGTTTTATCACCACCATTAGGTTAGATCCAAATGATTCTGCTGGTTTAAGGATACTGATTCCAGAATTTGTCCTGTATCGGGTTGGCTGACACCAAAGTGCGAATGAAAACAGGAAACTTTTACCTTACACACACATACAGTTTGAAGTTGATGATTAAAGCTTTTGATAATCGGACAAATTGTAGATTTTGAAACTTTTATTTTTCTAAAAGAAAAATGCAGCAATTCCATTTTTAGTTCTGATATTCAGTATATGCAGAGCATTTTTACCTTTCTGGCTGACAGTTTCAGCTCCAGTCTGTCTCCTTCGTCAGAGCATCACAGGTGTCAACCAGCAAGGTAGAAAACAAAGATTTTAAGACTCTGTGTATATATGGGAACTATGAAATGGAATAAGAAAAGCAACACAGGATAAACGAAGGAAGTGACGCCACCATCGATGAAAAACAGGATGAAATTAACAAAGATGCAGCAATTTGTTATAAAGTGTAAGCTCCTAATATGGTCGTTGGAGGCTTTTTTGCAAAAAATCTTACAAACACTCCCAAATAACATTGTAAGTTCTTAAGTGGAGGGAGGCAAACATCTCAAATTAGAAAAATTTCACAGATATAAAATATTCTACAAATACTTAATTTTTTGGGCTATTTAAAAATTCTGAAACACCTGAGTCCAGCAGATAGAATTCTGATGAGAAAAATCTCAAATTGCAATATGCAAAAGCACATTGAAGCTTATTTGACTCACATTTGTGTTTATTAATTGTTAATGCTGCTACACTAGTACGGCTCTGTAAATCATCTGGTGTCAAGCCACACAGAAATCATTCATTGACTTAAAAAATGAATTTTACATATTTGACATAAGTTAGTCTGGGGGTTTTATTTTGAAAAATACACATACATTACAGTGTGGTAATAGAAATGAAATGCATGATAAATATATTTGCATGAAATTTGTAACTGATTTTTCATGCACTTTATTGTGTTTATTTAAAGAGCAAGTCACCCCCAAATCAACTTTTTTTTGCTGATAAACTGTATAAATGAGTGTCTAAAATTGCTGTAGACACGTGTAATCAATAAGTTTGCACTTTAGTGCATCTCAGTTAAACTTTAAATACTCTGCCTAAAACTATCAGTGTTGCGCCATCATCAGGTAAAAATTCTGCACTACATTTGAATATAAATCTGCCATCGCTATTGGCTAAGAGGTACACCATGACTTTAGCTGTTACATTATGATGTCACAATGTCATTGTGAGCCTGTGTGTGTATTTATTAGCGGCTCCGCCCTCTCGGTCTGCCAGGCAACAGCATTTGTTGCATTTTTCAAACAGGAAGTGGGAGTGGAGTGAGACTCTGGTAGGGGGTGACTTGCATGTAATTTCCTCCACCCCTCCACTAGTGCTTGAACTTTTGATCCCTAATAACCCCACCTTGGCTTCTTATGTTTGCACTTGAAACAACGTGTGTGTGTGTGTGTGTGTGTGTGTGTGTGTGTGTGTGTGTGTGTGTGTGTGTGTGTGTGTGTGTGTGTGTGTGTGTGTGTGTGTGTGTGTGTGTGTGTGTGTGTGTGTGTGTGTGTGTGTGTGTGTGTGTGGTGTGTTTTCAGGTTTTGTACAACATGTTCAGCTTTGTGGCAGAGATGCCAGTCGTGGAGCCTGTGGATGTGTTCCTGGGCATGGCCAGGTTCTTAGTGGTCGGACTGGGCGGGATGGGCTTCGGCATCCTGTTCGGCTTTGTGGCCTCCTTCACGACAAGGTTCACCTCCAAGGTCCGAGAAATTGAACCCCTCTTCATCTTCATGTACAGCTACCTGGCGTATCTGGTGGCTGAGCTGTTCGCCATCTCCTCCATCATGGCGTGGGTATATATAAAATAGTTCCCGTACAGTAGTGGTTCTCAGTTATTTTCTGTTGTGCCCCCCGTTTATGGAAAGAAAAAAATTGTGCCCCCCTTGAATTGAAATCTGATATAGAACCAGAGAAAATTTTATTTTTAATCTTTACAAACCAGTGTAAGTGGTTTCTGGCACCACAAATCCAATTGTGGCAAGTGGAACCTCAGTTGCTAGTACCAGCCACCACCAATGAAGTTGGTGGCTGGCACCAACCCTACAAAACTTGAGGGCCCATTTTTTTTTATTTGAGCCTTCTGAATCGGGGCTACCTGCTGGGCTTTTGGCATCACCCTGCCTGGCAAAAGGCGTGAGAGGTATAGTCTACATCCCTGTGGTGAATGTGGGAATGGTAGATGTTGTCCTTTACCCACGGACTCGTCTAGGAACTTTAAGTTCAGTGGACGTGGTTGATCTTCCTCCTGGTGTCGAGAGTAGGTCCCCAGTGACTATTTCTGGTCAGACAACATCTGGAACAGAGGAAGATTTACTGGAAACCATTGATTTGTCTGGCTTGACAGAAACTGATCAGTTACAGGTTTGGTCCTTGCTGCAGAAATGTTGTTTTGTTTTCTCCATTCATGATGGCGATCTGGGGTGTACTGACCTGGTGTCCCACAACATTCCGCTGCTGGACGAGACCCCCATTCAGCAGAAGTATTGGTGCATTCCTCCCTCAGAGTATGAGGCAGTGAATGCTCACATTAATCAGCTTTTGGAGAGTCGGATGATACGGGAGAGCTGTAGTCCTTATGCGTCTCCGATAGTGTTGGCAAGAAAGAAAGATGGTAGTCTGCGGATGTGCGTAGATTATCGCCTGCTTAACAACAAAACGAGGAGGGATGCATTCCCTTTACCTCGAATTGAGGAGAGTCTTGATGCACTGTCGGGTGCGCAGTGGTTTTCCACTTTGGACTTGGCCAATGGTTACAACCAGGTGCCCATGTCGGAAAAAGACAAGTCCAAAACTGCTTTTTGTACACCATTTGGCCTGTTTGAATGGAACTGAATGCCCTTTGGGTTGTGTAATGCGCCGAGTACTTTTCAACTTTTGATGCAGAGGATGTTTGGGGATCAACAGTGTCAGTCCCTCCTTCTCTACCTTGATGACATCATTTTGTTTTCCTCTTCGGTCTCCCAGCATGTACAATGCCTGGAGGTCGTCTTGGATTGACTACAGAGGGAAGGATTGAAAGTGAAATTGGAGAAATGTTCGTTTCTTCGGCAGCAAGTGAACTACCTGGGCCATGTCATTTGCAACAAGGGGGTGGCCACTGATCCAGCCAAAATTGAAGCCGTGGCTAAATGGCCTCGCCCTAGTAACGTGTCAGAGCTTCGTTCGTTTCTAGCCTTTGCCAGTTACTACAGACGGTTTGTAGAGGGGTTTGCCAGTTTGGCAGCTCCTCTCCAAAGGTTGGTGGCTCAGCTTATGGGTTCCAAGTCCAAGAAGGGGACCGGTCAGACCTTTCAAGCCGCATGGACAGCGGAGTGCGAGACAAGCTTTGAAAGTGTGAAGGTTGGATTGACGTCAGCGCCAGTGCTGGCGTATGCAGACTTTGCTTGTCCCTTCATCTTAGAGACAGATGCCAGTCACTCGGGGCTGGAGGCAGTGCTTTCCCAGGAGACTGAGGAGGGAATCAGACCATTGGCATACGCCAGTAGAGGCCTTCGACCGGCTGAGCGTAACATGTCCAACTACAGCTCCATGAAGCTGGAGTTTCTGGCATTAAAGTGGGCCATGACAGAAGTTCAGGGAGTATTTGTTGGGACATCAGTGTGTAGTGTACACAGATAACAATCCCCTGAGCTGTCTTAACTCTGTAAAGTTGGGGCGGTGTAGCACCGTTGGGCAGCCCAACTTGCTGCTTTTGATTTCACCATGAAGTATCGTTCAGGGCTCAGTAACAGAAACGCAGATGCCCTGTCTCGTCAGCCAGAGGTGGGGACTAGTGCAGTACAGCAGGTACTGCCAGGTACCCCAGTCCCACGAATCCTGCAATCTGTCTTGAGGGAGGGATCGGCACAGCAAAAGCGATCATTGCTACCTTGTTCCTGCAGCATCGTGTGCTGTGCCCTCACCATGAAGTACTACGTGGAGGAGAACGTCTCCCAGCGCTCCTGCACGACCATCCGACACGTGGTGAAGATGCTCAGCTCCATCTCAGAAACCGTCATCTTCTTCTTCCTGGGTGTCGTTACCATCACCACAGAACACGAGTGGAACTGGGGCTACCTCCTCTTTACGCTGTTGTTTGCTTTTATATGGAGAAGTTTAGGTACGCTTTAAGTCAAACACCTTTCTGCCTCTCCAGGTTTAGTGAACGTGCTAACCTCCCCTTTCCATTTACTCTGCTCTACTCCCAGGTGTTTTGGTGCTGATTCCGATCATTAACCCTTTCCGAACCATCCCCCTCAACCTAAAAGATCAGTTTGGTTTGGCCTACGGAGGACTGCGGGGTGCCATCTCATTCGCTCTGGCCTTCACACTTCCTGAAAGCATCGTCCGAAAACACCTCTTCGTCACTGCCACCATCGCGGTCATCCTCTTTACTGTCTTTCTACAGGTAGGTCCTTTGGATTGGTGCTTAGATCTTTTAGCAAAATGTATGAAGTCTTAGGATGTTTTTTTTTAAACACGGTGACTTCAATTTTTAATGTGACTTCTCTTTAGGGGATCAGTATCCGACCTCTGATTGAATTAATCAACGTCCGCAGAACCAACCGCAAGGAGGACCTCATCAACGTAGAGATCCACCGCAGGGTACGACAAGGACTTTTCATTTATTTGGTGAACATTATGTTTCACCCAGAAACTCTGATGGCTCTTCTTAGGTGTGTTCTTGCTGTGCGTTATTTCTAATTCCATGTTGTCGTTCTTTTTTAAAACACAGAAACGGTTTTGTTACCTGTTATTGACGCTACGTTTCTCCGACGGCTGCCGGCTTCTTCAGGCTGACGCTGATGGTGGCGCGTCACTTCCTTCTCCGTTTATCTGCGGGCAGCAGAGGACGTTGTCGCCCTCTACTGCCCGCTCTCCCCTCTCCGACGATGCAGCCCCATGCGTGGTCCAGCGTGTACACTCCGTCGTCCCTGTTCATGGTCCCACATCCACGTCTCCTTATCTCGATTGCTTCCTTGATCCATCTTTTGTTTTTTTGTTGTTCAGTGGTTATGATCCGTGTGTTGTCCCAGTCCATTATATGGTTTTCTCTTAAGCAATGATCTGTTACGGCTGACTTTTACTGCATCGTCGGAGAGGGGAGAGCGGGCAGTAGAGGGCGACAACGTCCTCTGCTGCCCGCAGATAAATGGAGAAGGAAGTGACGCGCCACCATCAGCGTCAGCCTGAAGAAGCCGGCAGCCGTCGGTGAAACGTAGCGTCAACAACAGGTAACAAAACCGTTTCTGTGTCTTAAAAAAGAACGACAACATGGAGGTCTGACGGCTGTTGCTTTGCTCTCAGATGATGGAGCACACCATGACAGGAATAGAGGACATCTGTGGACAGTGGAGCCATTTCTACTGGAAAGACAAGTAAGACGGTCTAATGGGGTGTTTAAATAATTGTCTCATCTTCTGTCTAGTGAGACGAGTTTCTCACATCTCCGACTTGATTTTCTGAATTAACATGTTCTGATCATGACAGCAGCACTCAGAGCAGGCAGGTTGGTTTATGGTTTAAATGTGTTCATGTTCTATTTTTCAACTTTAGTTTACATTGCTAATCAGAAGCTGCTAGCTTCATCTGACCTCTATTTAGCAATTCCTTTTAAACAATAGGCGTGACAAAGCTGATTATGGTATGGTATTACTGTGAGCAAGTGTAAAGAGATCCAGAAACCTGATTGGAGGAGAAAGGTCACATGTCTCATGGATAAAGATCAAAAAGTTGTACAGAAAAAGGGTAAAAAGCAAAGATTAAAGTAGAAGCCTGCTTGTAACAAACACACAACATAGATGTGTAATGTTGCATAAATTAAAATATTAATGAGCAGAAATTCTAGAAAAAAATTTGATAAGCAGCAGGATTGGGTAGCACACAAGGATTAATACCAGCTAGGAAACTTATTAGTTTTTATTATGTTTGTTTAATCTTCATATTTGATGATTGTCTAAATCTGTCTGACTGTAGCGCTTCACACCTTTCCTGACATGTCTGTCTAAATGTTTAGGTTCATGAAGTTCAACAATCGATTCCTGCGTAGGATTCTGATCCGAGACAGCCGGCCTGAGTCCGGTATTGTTGCCCTCTACAAAAAGCTGGAACTGCAGAACGCCATGGAGATTCTGGACTCTGTGTCTGGAGACATCAGCTCTGCCCCGGCCATCGTCTCGCTCCAGTATGAAACCTGGATCAAACTTCCACTTAATTGAGATGATTACTGGTAACGTTGTTTTACTTTCTTCATATTTTGATTTTTAGTGAGGAGAAGAAAGGGTCTGCTAAACCGATGAAGAAATTCTTGGCTAAGGACCTGAATAACATGCATAACATCCTGTCCAAGAACATGTACAGCATCAGGCAGCGGGTGAGATGAAGGATCAGCTTTGTTTTTTTTTAATGAAATATCAGTGATGATCCCCTATCTAAGGTCTCTGAATCCCTTGGAGGACAAGAATGAGTTTGTTTATGCTTATTTATCCTTCTGCAGGGAAAACCCAGCAGGAGCTTTGATCCATGATCCATGTTTGATTCTAGTTATGTTAGAGGGGGAACCTCTTCCCCTTTTATTTTGAAAGGATTCTTCTGTTTTACAATAGTCTGAATTTGCACCTTAGCTACTTGCTTACTTTAAAACTGCCACAGTCACGTTTAAGGTTGATTACATTAACGTACACTCACCCAAAGGATTATTAGGAACACCTGTTCAACTTCTCCTTAATGCAATTATCCAATCAACCAATCACATGGCAGTTGCTTCAATGCATGGTCCTGGTCAAGACATTCTCCTGAACTCCAAACCGAATGTCAGAATGGGAAAGAAAGGTGATTTAAGCAATTTTGAGCATGGCATGGTTGTTGGTGCCAGACGGGCCGGTCTGAGTATTTCACAATCTGCTCAGTTACTAGGATTTATACCCACACCCATTTCTAGGGTTTACAAAGAATTGTGCGTAAAGGGAAAAACATCCAGTATGTGGCAGTCTTGTGGGTGAAAATGCCTTGCTGATGCTAGAGGTCAGAGGAGAATGGATCGACTGATTCAAGCTGACAGAAGAGCAACTTCGACTGAAATAACCACTCGTTACAACCGAGGAATGCAGCAAAGCATTTGTGAAGCCACAACACGCACAACCTTGAGGCGGATGCACTACAACAGCAGAAGACCCCACCGGGTACCACTCATCTCCACTACAAATAGGAAAAAGAGGGTACAATTTGCACGAGCTCACCAAAATTAGACGGTTGAAGACTGGAAAAATGTTGCCTTGTCTGATAAGTCTTGATTTCTGTTGAGACATTCAAATGGTAGTCAGAATTTGGCGTAAACAGAATGAGAACGTGGATCCATTACCACTGTGCAGGCTGGTGGTGGTGGTGTCATGGTGTGGGGGATGTTTTCTTGGCACACTTTATGCCCCTTAGTGCCAACTGGGCATGGTTTAAATGCCACGGGCTATCTGAGCATTGTTTCTGACCATGTCCATCCCTTCATGATCACCATGTACCCATCCTCTGATGGCTACTTCCAGCAGGATAATGCACCATGTCATAAAGCATGTCCCCCCACTTTTTCCAAAGTACATTTTTTTGTCCCCTGCACATCAGAAAAAAGGCCCAGCAGAGGATGAACTTCCTGAGGCAGCTGAAGAAATTCAACCTATCACCACAGTCGATGAGGCAGTTCTACACCGCTATCATCGAGTCCATCCTCACCTCCTCCATCACCGTGTAGTATGCTGGAGCTACCACCAGGGACAAGAAGAGGCTGCAGCATGTTGTGCACTCTGCAGAGAAGGTCATTGGCTGCAAACTCCCCTCCATACAGTATCTGTACACCTCTAGGACATTGAAGCGTGCAGGTCGGATAATAGCTGACTCGTGTCACCCTGGACACAGTCTCTTCGACTCGCTCCCATCTGGCAGAAGGCTCAGATCCATTCGGACCAGAACCTCTCACCACAAAAACAGTTTATTCCCCTCTGCAGTTGGACTTTTGAACGAAAATCCTAGGGCAGCCCACTCAAGTCGATTGGTCCCAGTCACGTGACCCGATGCTGTGCTTGAAAAACACTCAGATTAGTACTTATGGTAGATAGCTGCTTCCCTAATTCTTGCCACTTTTTACATTAATAATTTTATCATGAGTGTTTTGTTACTTCCTATATTTGCTTATCTCTTTATTTTTTTCCTTTCTTACCTTCTGCACCAAATAATGCAGCAATTTCCTAATGTTGTGACTTGGCACACATATGGCAATAAAACCTTCTGAATCTGATTCTGAGTTTTACCATATTCTGCAATATTAAATAGACTCTGGTTGAGCACTAGGACCAAGCAGCCTGTTTCCCATTAGAACCGTCCATAAGCTCATCTATTGGCTCTGATGATACTTGCTAGCGTGTGATTGGCCATACCTGCCACCTGTGTACTTGCATAATGAGACTCTAAACTGTCGTTTTATACATATTTTTGTATACTTACTGTAAGGACCCCCCCAGTCCTCATGCCGGCTGCACCCCCCCCCCCCCCCACACACACACACACACACTTTCAATCGACACAGTTTTAGAAGAGAACTCAGACCAGAGACCCCCAAAATCCGAAACTGTTGTTTTGCATACAGACAGAAGCGGCTGAGTAATTTTCCGCATGACGTTATTTTTTACTCAAATACTGTTTGATGTTTAAAGAAATTAAAATCATGTGCTTCAGTACTCACATCAGAATCAATTAAATCATTTACCTTCAAGTTTCTTTTTAAGGATTTAGCCCCCTTTTCTAGTTTTAATACAACCATTAGAATACAGCAATGTTTTGTTGTTGTTTTTTTCCTTTAAAAGTTCAACTCCAAATTTTGAAGTTCAAAAGTGCAAATGATCTAATCATCAAGTCAGATTGTTGCAAGACATGGTTGAGCACAAACACAGAAACTCCGTGCAGCTCAGACAGGTGGGACCGGTTTTGGTAGAGTAATCCGAGCTTCAAAAAATTCCTTCTCCTTAAAAATGCACCTGAAAGTGTGTTTTTCCAAGCTTTGATTATCTGCAGGGAATCGGCCAATGATGTGAACATTAATGCAAAAATAATGATAAACGCAAACACTAAAATGTAGAAGCAAGCAGTCGAATCTTTGTGTGTAACTTCTGTGTTTTCTAGACGGTGGCTTACACAAATAAGCATGCTCTGCCCAACGAGAGTCAAAACAGGGAAATCCTGATCCGACGTCACTCCAGCATCCGTCGGAGCTTCCGACCTGGAAGCTTTCAGTCAACAGTGAGTTTGTTTTAGTCACTTCTTAAATTAATTTAAATAGGATTTTTTTTTTACTTCAGTAAAAAATTAATGGTGGGAATTAAATGAAATATTTCTAACTTTAGTCCTAACCCATTATTAATTATTTTTGTAGAAGGTTCCTAAGTCACAGAAGTATTTCTCACTGCCTCCTGGTCAGAGTTTGGGGTCAAAGTTTCCTTCAGCAAGACAGAGTTATGCTGGTAAGCTTCTGAATCTCCTCTAAACCAACCTTTTCCTGTTCTATCTCACTGGACCACTGGATGATAAAGAAACTCTCGTCATGCATTTTCCTACCTTCAGGAAATCTTGGATTACCATAGAAATATAAAAGTTTGGTTTTAAAGCTGATGATCGCTGCTTCATTTCTTTTCCCGTTTTGTCTCAGATGACCATGAAGCCACGTCAGAAGTGGGCTACCCGCTCCGGCTCCCTCAATCCAACCATCCCAGGTGCTCCACCTCCGGAGCCGTGATGCCTCTGCACAGGCTGAACACTCTAAACGAATTCCCGTCTGTTGAAGTTCTGAACGAGAAGAGCCCGAGCCACAGTGCATCCCAGGATTCATCTTTACCTGACTGTCATTTTAGCACCAATAACAACAGCTCTGCAGACGATTTAAGAAATGAGGAAGGAGAGGAGCAGCGGCCTTTGCCTCCTTCTCCAGCCTTGGTGGCTGAACCTAGGAACAACACGCATGGAAACCCTCTGCTCAGGCGGCCGCAGTGGAACCAGAAGAAGTAAAAACCTCCCTGTGTTGGGTTTCAGACCATCCACCAGTCAGCTCCCTTCCAGACCAGATGGATGAACGAACTCCGGAGGTTCTGTTCATTCCTTTTAATGAACTTCAGTTCAAAATAAGCCAAAATGGACAGAATGACCTCACAGAAGTGAGCACACAGAGCACCAGAGTGAACTCTATTTATCTTTCTAGAGCATTTTATTCTGGGGATTTTAAAATCAATTAAACTGTTTAAATGAGGTTGTTTTTATTTTTAAAAGCAAATTGTTTGTTTTCTTGTAAATAATAACTGTTGTATGATGCCATTGTTTTGCACCTGGTACCGATGTGATAATTGGATGCTGGCAACAGTAACGGACACTTTGGTCAGTTTTATCAGTATCAAAAATAAAAATGTCATGTTGTTAAACAGGTATGAAGCTGTCTTGTTTAAAACGTGAATACAATCCTAAAACACTGAAACTTGTCACCAAAAACATTTAAAAAATGCAACATGAGACTTTGAGACAAAGACTGGTGAAGTAGGACTCATCTCCAAAAAGCATAAATATAACAAACATTTAACATTAGTGCAATTTTGGATGTGGAAATAGAAAAATTAAGAGTTTTGATAGCTAAAAAGTAAACTTAATTCATTTGTGAAGTCACTGATTTTCTGAAACGCCAATAAAAGTAAATTCTTAAATTGTCTCATTTAAATACTTTAAGGTGGTCATTTCATTTCCTATTTTCTTTAAAGTGACTCACTTTGTTGAAATGGTGCAAAAGTTAAAAGATTTTAGAATCAGACAAACATTTATTAGATTATTTCAAACCATACTTATATTTAAAAGTCTGTAGGTGAATGTAAAAATTCAGTTTTCCTTCATTTCCATGCTTTATTAGTGCTCAAAAACAATTGAATCAAAAAACAAACCTACAAAACATTTTTCTGTTTACATTTGAACATTTCTCAGTTGCCTAACAATCAGAAGCAAGATTTTCCCCAAATACCACAGCAGAAACTTTTTCATTTGAATTAGAGGAAAAAATGAACTGAAAGTGCAAAATTAAAGCCTAAATTTAAACTGTTGTCATGCATCCAGATCATCCAACATTTCCAGTCTAGAAGGTAATTATTGGTATTTTCTTACAGTTTTTTTATGAATCAGTAGCTCTATAGGTTTACAGTTAATGGCTGCTAAAACCCTTGTGGATTTTTTAAAGATGTAGTGGTTACAGAAGTGAATTCTGAGCAAAGACATGTTTTTCTGTCCTGTCGTTCCTTCAGCATATCTAGAAGCGTGACAATCTTGGAAGGACTGTCCTGCTGATGGCCGTTTCCCCTCCTCTGTCCCTGAGAAGGCCTGTGGTTTTGTTGCGGCTGTCCATCACAGCTAAAGAGTAAGAGCACTTCTCTGAACAACTACAAGTCCACTCGGCTGCTGACAGTTTCAGAGGTTTTTTTTTGTCAGTCTTTGGTCCCATTTAGGGATTCTGATGAGAAGCAAACCCACAGCTGCCAGAGCGAGAACGACTCCCAGACTGGGAGGACCACACGGGCTGAACTCCTGGGCCAGACCAGAAAGTAGAGGGGCCAGAACTCGACCCACAGCTGTGACCGACTGCCCGGCTCCGATCAGAGTCCCGCTGGCCTGGACCCCGCCCCTCTGCAGCTCCAGGTCTGTGATACACGTCCGACCGATCGTGGTGGAAATGGCGAAGAAGGTGGAGGTGAGCACCACCTGCCATACGCTCGGCGCGGTGGAGTAGAGGAAAATAAGCAAACAGGTGAGCACTGTGGAATGTAGAAGCAGAGCGGGCATGTTGCTCCTGTAGAGCTGGGTAACGGGCCCCACCAGGAACCCAGAGAGGGCCCCTAAGGTGCTACTGTAGCTAATCAGGTAACCAGTCACTTTGGGTTTGAGAGAGAAACGCTCCTCCATGGCCAGAGAGAAGTTACTGTAGTAGAGCATGATGGCCACAGCCATCAGGAGGCGCACAAGAAACAAGTCCCACATGTCAGAAAAGGCCACCATGTGGATCCTGGAGCTCACTGAGGAGAGCTGCCTCCAGGCAGGCTGGAGCAGGGACACCCGCCTCCACCTGGGATGATGCTTCCAGGAGGATCTGGATGATGCTTCAGTATCTGCTGTCAACACCACCGGTTGACTTTTAGTGTGAGAACCGTTCTGCACCGACTTGTTGTAGTTTTGGTCGTGACAGCATTTACTGGAGTTGTTACTGCAGTTAGCCTCGCTAAGATCTGCTAGCGTCTTGCTCCATGGCAGCATGAAAACCAGCCCTGAAGGGATAAAAAAACACACACATAATAAACTTATTTCACCGGCAATCACCACAAGTGACTTACTCTAGTTTGACTCACCAGCATTAACAATAAAGATGGCAGCACAAGCGAAAGAGGAAGTGTAGAAGCCTCCTTCATGCTCAGTGAGATAGCCTCCCACCACCGGACCGAGGATGAAACCAACGCTGGAGGCGGCGTTAAAGTGTCCCATCACCAGTGGGCGCTCAGGTTCTGACACCAGGTCGGACAGCAGGGCTCTGCAGATGGACAGGGAGTGCTTGAAAAGCCCTGAAAAGGGAAAAATGTAAATAATTTAACTTTTCTGCTTCAGATTCATGAAGTTGATGATGCTACCAATTTACCTAATTCGTCAGCGTAACAAGCTTGGAGTGATTCAAATGCAGTTTTAAATACAAAATCATTAGAAGAGTTTGAACTTTAGGGTTCTACTGATTTATCAGTGAGATCTAACAAAATTGTAAAGAAGAGTTACTTAAAGAGAAAAATGAAAGATTTATTGAACTCAGCAGGCTTTTATTGTGAAAAGATCTGTTAATTCAGCGAGCCAGGTGCGGGTGACTGCTGTGAATAGTGGGAAGCATTCTCAAACAAGTACATAAAACAGGGGACAGTTGCTGTTATTCACATAATAACATAAAAGTAAATTGTTTTCCGGGCCGCTCCACAACTCACCCACGGGAACCCGAGCGAGGACAAACAGAGTGATGCTCGTGGACGTTCCCAGGAGGCTGTAGCCCAGAGCGCTCAGCAGCAGGCACGTCAGAAGAGAGTACCGCCGCCCCACCACGTCGCTCCAGCTGCCCTGCCAGTCACACAAAAAAGTTCACTCGTCAGTGTTTCTAAAAGTGGAATCGTACCGTTTTAACTGAATTAAACAGCCGAAATGCTTGAATGTAACAATTAAGTGACATAAAAACAGAAAAATACCTAAACTCTAAATTATCTCTGAACCAAGCAGCCTGTTTTATTAGGTTATCGCCCTCTCTGTCTCACACACAACCATAATGAAATAACAAAATTAGGACCAACTGAGTTCGTCTGTGTTCTGGATGTGGACTTGTGGGATTACCATAGTAACCCAGCTGTTCACACATCCCAGCATGCATCAGGATGCAGCCGCTCTGCACAAAGGCACCAACAGATGAGTCTTTATGTCTTTAATTTGTCGCATGACCAGCAGGAATTAAACCAATTTTAGGAGCTCTGAGATGCAGCAAAAAGGAAGCTGAGATTCTAACGTCTAACTCGCAACGTGGACATTTCCTAAATGACATAAAAAGCTCTCTTGGCGCAGCTTATTTCCATGGAAGTGTGCAAACGAAATATTCCGTGTGACAAAAATCAGTGTCCATTGGTTTTGTAAAATGCCAGTGATCACATGGCATGCAGCAATTGTGGCTATTGAGTGTCTCAGCAGGACTAAATGAATGGAGAGTTGTAGAAGACAAAAACAAAGACAATACTTACAACTACTGTGCTTGAGAAAAGCTGTAGGATCCCGTATGTAGACCCTGCAACAGTTTAGGAACTCGCTTAGTATTTTGTATCACAGCAAAGGTCACCTATGTTTGCTTTAACAAAAGAAAATCTAATGAAAACATACAATATAGGATATTAAAAAAGGGGTGACCTATATATTTTTTGCAAATTCCCATTTCTTTTACCAATTTGTCCTCATGATCAAATATTTTCAGAAAGACAAAAGTGTTGGTTTCTACATCTCTGCTCAGATCTTTTTGTCAGCTGTTTCTATGGTTACCATGTTGAATTATACGCATTTTGCAAGTTTCAAAGGTTTTTATTGATAATTACGTTGAGTTTAAACAAGAGGTTACCATTTAAAATGCTGGTACTTCTGTCAAAACGTCTGGAATTCCACCTGGCAGGTTGTAGATCAACTTCTGGTCCAAATCCTGGCTGATGCTACTCCATTCTAGCTTAAAAACTGCTTGGAGTTTGTTTGTTAGTCCACCCATTGAGGACGGACCACAAGCTCTAAGTGGGATTAAGGATTTTATCCCTTTGGCCTCATGGGATTGAACTCCAGCATGTCCACGAAGACATTGTTCATCACCAAACTGTTCTTGAATGGTTGGAGGAGTTCCTCTGGGAGGATGTTTAGGCACCATTCTTTATTCAAAGCTGTATTTTTTGGGTTAAACTGTGAGTGATTCCACCCTCCCACACATGAATTGAGTGCCCCAAATAATCCGATCATAGAAAATGACTATAATCCGGTCCTCAGCAGTCTAGTCCTTGGATCTTCATCACATTTACCTATCTCCGATGGGTTTTCTTTAGGAGAAAAGTGGCTTCTTTGCTGCCCTTCTCAACATAAAGACATCCTCCAAATGTTCTCATCTCACAAATGTCATGGACATAATTTTTAAGAGGAATGCAAATAATGTCTCCTCATCAGAGCCTTGTTCTAGAGTTTAGAGGCAGCAGGTTTTATGACATTTAATATCTGTGTCACCGCTACACTTGACCGTACATTGTTAATCCAGCAATAATTCAAGGGAAATGTCTTAAATGCAGCGATAATTATTATTGTTTGGTTCCAAGACTGTGGCGTTTATGGCTTATTCAGGCAGCTTCCTTCTTGATCAGATCGACTCTTCTATGGATTAGTGAATAATCTGGACACAACCTACCCACGATACCGGCCACAGTGGGGCTGGCTCCGAGTGCCTTCACATGATGGCTGAGTAGTGGGATGATCATGCTCACCCCAAACAAGTCCTACAGAAAAACAAAGATAGGAGAATGATAGCAGGACACTGAGATACACAGGTTTAATCCAAATCTGCAGATCTAGTCATAATGATGCAATCATTTTAAAATATTACTTAACAATTCATGCCCAACATCAGTAAAAATTTCCACTTGCAATTAAGTTAAAAGTGCATAAAATATTGCATAAAATAAGGAAAACAAATATGAAAAGTAAGTTTGAAGCCTGTCTACATCTGGTCCTGTTTGAAAACAAATGATGCTTCTTCCTCAGTTATAGCTAACCCATATAGAGCTGCACGATATCAAAAAATATGTAATATTTTTGTAAAACAGCACAATGTCAACATAAGATTTACATTCACATTTTCCTTCATGTTCTCTTTCCATTCTCTCATCACAGTGAGTCAAATATACATCAAATATATCATGCAGAGCTTTAATGCATGATAAATATAATAGTCTGTGATTTATTTCAGTCCAAGTTACAGTTGTGATATTGCATAAATCAGCATTGCAAAGATAATATGTTACAATAAGGTTGTGCAGCCCAATTCTCAATATTTGTTGAGTAGACTTTAATACACACACATAATACTGAGTGCATGATGAAGGATGTGGGAGTGTCAGACACACAACTCTAGTTCTGCAAGTGGCAGAAATAAAAACAAAATTGGCAACCAGTATATGGGACAGGATCAATCAAGCACGATCTTCTATAGTCCAGAGGTTAGAATGGTTGTGATACCCGCCATGGAGCTCCAAAATCCGTCCCTCATCTTGTTTATCTGTGCTTCTGAAATCTGTGCAATTCTGGCCAAATACTTAATTGATGACATACTGCAACTCATACAGTGTTCCAGAACAATTCATTCCAGAGATGTTTTACCTTCAGAAACATTACGCTCTCTGCGGGTTTGTTCTTTTTTCAGGGGTCTTTCTTATTTAAAGTAGCCTGATTACTTCTAGGCACCTTTAATAAAATTATATATATATAAAAAAAACATCTGTGCAATGACCCAAACTTGCTTTTGTGCCTAATAAAAACAAAAATATTTAAAAATCTGTCAAAATGAAGAGATTTGTCCTTTACAAAAATACCACAGCAGAAATGAAAAAACAACAACTTCCGGAATATGTTTCTGTTTAAGTTATGTGAAAAGTATTGTACAATTATTACTTTTCCTTCCTGCTGTGAAGTTTATGTCATCCAGCAGGATCAAATTATTGTTTTTCTGTTAGGTCTACAAATAGAAATTTAAGATTTAGTTGATAAATAATTTATTTAGCACAAAATAATAAACAATATTTTTATTAGTATAAATATTGCAGACTTTAAGTGACTGGAGGAAGGGGGTTTAATTTAAGAAACGTTTGAAATGGTTTTGTAAATAATTTACTTCAATATTTAATTTCTTAAACCCATGTGGATTTTATTTCCATTCTCAATCATCAAAGTGACGACTAAATAATCCATAAAAGTGTTGAAACCTGACTTTACCTGTTTCATTTCACACCTGAGTCATGAATGAATGAATGAATGACCACAAACACACATCTGACCTAAACAGCTGGGGCAACGTCTACAGTAACGCACTCACCATGAAACCCACCACATAGATGCATCTTATAATCCCCTTCCTTGTTCCTAGCTTCAGTGGTAAGGTGCTACATCTCTGGTGGCTCATCCTCCCGCTGTGACAGCTCGGCTAAAGCGGTTGGACACATCCGGTGTAGCACACGTCTCGTTGCCGGTGGGGTTGTGACTGAAACAGGGGGAGGCCAGACATTTTTCACTTGTAACTGTGAGAAACCCAGAAACTGCGTGAAAGATAATGCGTCATAAAGAATTTTATAGTGCTCCTGTTTGTTGATTGTGTTTACTGCTAAATAAAGGCTCGTTATTTTAGTTTAAAACTGAAAGTCGTTTGTGGTACTCCCCCATTTGTTTCACAACAGTGGTACAGCCTAACGACGTCACATGTTTACACTGTTATTATTTAAAATTATTTTATTTATTGAGAGTCAGGAACGCTTTAAAGTCTCATTTTCCTCGTTTAAACGCTTCAACGTCTAATTTTAGACCTCTGTACTTTTTGATAATTATTTATTTTTTGTTCAGGGTAAATATTGATAAAGCCACCTCTATTTTGAAACTGTATTCCTTTTAAGATAACACACTAACGAAATAATTTACAACTTAAAAGATCGTGGCCTTTACAATTGAGAAAACATTTTTTCATAATAATAATATTTAAAAAAAATGAGTTTTCTGTGCGCCACCTGCTGGATTTTCCAAGCATTGCTGCCTAAAATAATTGTTCCTCACGAGACAAAATAAATTACATTTATATTAATGAAAAAGTTTAAAAGTCAAACATATTTTTAAGCCTGTACAAATGATTTAACACTGCTTTTTAAAATTTCACGCAGCTAAAGGTATCTCCAGGTACATATTACATTAACTACTTTTCTTAGAGCTTTCTTCAGCAGTGATCAGGACAACAGGTCTCCAGTGACCAAATGGACACAGAAACAACTCGCTCCTGGGGATAATTTAAAGTCTACAATTAACCTGTCATGCGGGAGGGAATCAGAGTACCCAGTAAAAAACACGACTGGTAAGACCATGCTAACTTCACACAGAAAGCCCAAAAGAAGGATTTTAACCTGCAACCTTCTTGTTGCAATGAAACAGCCCACCATACTGCCCATCGCCATAGCTCCAGTATGGCCATAAGGGGCTGTTTATGTATGGAGATTATTTTGTTTCTTTATTCAATCAGAAAAATGGTATGCCTACTTAAAATTGAAAAACAATTTTTGAAAAATTGCAATCAAAAACAAAACAAAAGAAAACACTGACTTTAAAATTTGTTATATTAAAGACTGACTTTTTGATCCAATCAGTGATTTATATTTTACAAGTTTTTCTTTCAACAAGATAAATACATATAATTTAAAAAACCGGAAGTTTTGTATGAGCATTTGCTTTTCAGCTTCTGTTGTGAGGAGCACATAATCTAAAAGTCTGTGTTAGCTACCATTTCTTATGTCCTTTATCAGTTCTAATTTCTTCCACTACTATTTGTTGCTAGCCTGGCAAGCCAGACTAAATAAATGTATTATTTAGTCTGGCCATGCTCCATTGACGGCTCGCGGTTGTGGGGCGGGTTCTACCGTTGTCTTTCAAATGATCTCCGCATGCTACTGGACAATGAATGTGACATACTCTTGTTTCACTCTGTTGCATCATCCCACCCACCAGGCATATAGAGTGCCCTGATTGGCCCACAAAGCGGATAAAGCTCTGTGATTTGTTCACTAAGCAGATAGAGCACTATGATTGGCCCACCATTATGGACCAATCACAGCTCTTTATGTGTTTGAAACCCCTCTAGAGAGCTGTGATTGGCCAGCCAGAGTCCTGGTAGGAGCTGCTGAGGTTCCAATAGAGCATGCCTAGACCATTCTTTGCAATGCAAGAATTTGGTCTAGTTCACTAGGCTAATTTGTTGCCTTAAAAGAATGGGACAATTGTGTCGTGTGCTGGCAAAAATAAAACGACAATCTGGTTTCCAACTTCACTGATAATTTTTGTTTACAACTTTTTTTATTGCAGTTTTTCAAAAAGTGATTTTGTTTTGTTGTTTGAAGTACGTTTTTTATTTGAATAATAAAGAAAGAAAATTATCTCCATACTGGTGGACTTGGAGAGGGGCACCATATTAATGCGAGACACTAACAACAGCAAATAACTGAATTGTTCAAAATTGAGTTTTAGTAAATCGATGTTATTTAAAGGCTATTTAAAAAAATACAGAAAATTTTCGTAACGTTATGAAGAACAAAATGACATAAGCACATGCATGTTTATGTACAAATGGCATCCCACGGTTAAGTAAATAATAAACATCTGATGAAAATAAACCAAAGCTGTAATGTAGATTTATTGCAATAGACTACAGCTGCAAAACCTAGTAAAATTGTAGCTTACATGATGTATGGGACTCATTAGGACTTCTGATCTCCATAAAAACTGGGCCCAACAAGCTTATTGTTGACACACACTTCGAAACATGCGGGGAAGATGCCTGGAATGAAGGTGGTGGAGGTCGCATTGGTGTGTCAATGAGACGGTGTCCACATTTAGACTCTCTGCTAAACATTCCTCTTAGACGTGAGCAACCCACCAACCAGTACAAGTATAATGTGCATGTTTGAAGACATGCTTAAAAGGTTTGTGTAGGATGCAACAGTCTGAAACGATAAATCAGTTTTTAAAATATCCCACTTATTAGGTTTTATTATCAGACCATAACATTTGCATTGACAATTTTCTGTATTTGTATTTTTTTGTGTTTTTTCCTTTTTCGTTTATCTCGCAGCAGCGTTTACAGTAACGATCACCTACTTACCCAGTGGGGCAAAGGATAGGGGGATTGCTGGACCAGTCACTCCTCTGTCCTTTTACTCTCACCCTACTCTGACATTCCCATCAGATTCTGGGTGTCCAGTTGCCTGGTTATTTCTGCATGAGTCCCCCTCCAAACACCCCACTCACTCAGCTCCATGGTGAGCTGGAGCAGCCGTCTTCAATCAGACATTAAAAATAGCCCTGGGGTGAGGGGGGTTGGGCTGCTCTAGACCCCGGCGGAGGGTCCAAAGGAGTCATGTGGACGACTTTGACACAGACACGGATTGCAGAAGGAAGGGAAAATCCAGTATCCCAACAAAATCCAGCAGGACGGAGTAACAACATCTAACTGAGTGGATGTAATACTGACTTGTCACATGTACTTGCTGTGATCGAAGGACCTAGTTGGACTAAGAGTGTGAATCAAGCTGTCGATTCTGGACCATGAAGCTTAGCGTGGCATTATTCTTTGCAGGTCTCTTTGGAGCTTTGGCAGCTGTGTTCATCTTGCTTTCTTTTGGTACTGATTACTGGCTACTGGCCTCTGAGAGCTGCACACCAAACCCTGATGGATCTAGTCTCACAGACAAATCAGCTGGACAGGTGGGTGCATACTTATATTTTTACTACCAAGTGTTCTAAAAAGAAAAGAGTCATAAAGTAACATTAGGCACCATTTCCTTAAATGTGCTGCTTTTGAAAGTGGCTCCAACTAGTCATCTAACTGCAGGGTGGAGACACATCCCTTTGGGGCTCTCCTGCTGTAACAGGACACTGTTTAACGTAGTGTGTGTGCAGCTATGGCTGGTACCATGTGCCTCTGTGATAGGAATACAAATACCAGCAGTCTCAGAAGTATGATCCCCTATTAAATATCACTGACTAGAACAGATCTAGGCTTGAGTGAGCCCTGAAACTGACTCTGGACAATAAAAGAAATAAGCAATATACAGTAGGTGCTAAACTAGGATTCTTTCATAAAACTTTAATTTAATGACAGAAAAAGTGTGATTTGTGTAAGAAAATGTAGGATATCTAAAAAGCTCAGAATAAGAATCTCTAGTCATGTTGGATTTTGAAACCATATCTGAATGTGTTTGAAAAATAAGTTTAAAAGCTAATCTTAATCTCATGACTGGATTCAGCTTGTCTTTTTAAAGCCTTACGGTCCAAGAGTGTTCTCCCACCAACACTTAATGCTTTCACTTATATTATTGTTTTTATTTGTGACATTGTAGGAAATTAGGAATATCTGGGAAGGTTGAGTGTTATTTGAAACGTACAGTTAGTGTTTTTAAAATGAAATTCCTATTTATAAAATGTGATGAATATAATAAATATTCTATATTTTATTAAATGAACCTCAGGATGATTAGTAACCACTTTGATGGAAACCAATGGGGATCCTCTAACTAAACTAACGTAAAGAAACAGTGATTAAAAGTAAAACTGCACCAGCCATATAAATAGCCATGCATAAACTTCATATTTTCTAAAAATCTGAAAATGCTTAATAAAACTTTGGTTTTGCCTTGTTCTAGCTGGGAGCGGAGCAAGGTGGGAGGGATTCAACAGTTTCGTACCATGAGGGATTCTTCTGGGGCTGCTTCTCTGGAGGTCATACTGATGGAATCGAACTGGATTGGGCCAGCTGGCTGAGTGAGTTGGATGCATTTAATAGTTTCAGTTCATGTTTGTTTATATTCATACGTGGTGCTTTATGTTTCACATCTCAAAATCTGCATGACAATTACTTTTAAAATATAAGTATTCATTTAATTGTTGCAAATGGTTAGACCTGGAAATGTGTAAGATTTTTATTTGCACATCTCAAATCAAATGAGGTGGAGTTAAAATGTTAATATTCCTGTTGTTAATGGCTTCACAAAGAGCCTCAGTAAAAGAGAAACGGGGTGTTTTTTCTGGCCAATGCAAACAAAATTTAGATTCCTGCTGTCGTATATCTCAGTTGTCAATGCAAACTCCAAATTTAAATTTTACAAACCCGTCATCTTTTATTATGTGGCATTTTTACGTCATGTGCTTTGCAAAAAGCAAAATGCAGGAGATAGCTGCAGCCCTTCTGGTCCAGCCCGCAGTGATTCCTGCAGGAATACCAGGATTTCTGCCAGAATGATGGGTCTACCGGTTTATAAAATATTATCCACAAACCTTTTGTTTTAATACAACCCAAATCCACTTTGGTTTTACTGTTCAAACTAGCCGTTAGCTTGTCAATCATGTCAGAAGTAAAGACCCAACGATCTGCCTATAATATGTGAGATATTTATTGATAATAATTACACAAACCCCTAATCATTAAAATCTGGGCTGCCTATGAATTTTCCATCATTTTAAGGATTTGGTAAAAACCTAAGACATCACGGTTACGCAGATTTTAACAGAATAAAGTCGTTCTGATAAAAATCTGAAAATTCACAACATATCAACACATCTGTAGCCAAAAACGTTCTGAAACAAGGTAAAAATATTCGTGAAAGTGATGCTTTAGGATCCGGGTCTCCCACCAGGCAGGCTCACAAGAGGGTTCTGTTTGTTACTAGTGATAGAAACCCCCCTGCCCATCCCCACCCTAAACTCTCATGTGACCATTTCAACAAGCTTGCACCATGTGATGTTATTCTGGTCCCCTGCTGTCAGCTGGTTGTGAGTCATTTAGCTGTTTCTTTTCCCTTGTGGTGACTCAGAACGGTAAGAAACATCCTGCAGGCGTGAGCGGGCATTGTGAGTATCGGAGGAATTCCACACGCTCCAAGAAAAAATAAGCAAAACAAATAAAATTATTTAAAATTCATAAGTTTTAAAAATATTTTTTATGGTTTATATGTTTGAAATAATCTGTTGATAATGTTCTCAAAATCCCTCTTTTTCAGCTTCGAGCCATCCCAGCTTTAAACAGTGTGTGCCAGCCTATCTCTATCCATTCCCCATATTAGCCTCAAACGAGACCGCCGAGTACAGCCCTATCTTGAGTGAGTACTGCAATAGTTTGCTTTGATTTTCCTGAAAGATAAGATGGTTTTTGTACAGCTGGTTAACATCTCTATTGTTTAGTCTACAAAGGCTTCTGGAGCATCTTCATGCTCATCAGTGTAGCAGCTGTGCTTCTGGGTGGGCTCCTCATCATTTGTGGTGCTCCTTTTGCGAGCCACCGCCTCTACAAGGCCGGAGGTGGCCTCTTCCTGGTATCTGGTGAGAAACAAGCTCTTAATGCATTTAATCCAATCTGCTGATGCTTAATTGCTCAGATTATAATGAGTTTTGCACCTCCAGGTTTTTTCCTGCTGTGTGTGGTGGTGCTGTTCATCCTGTGGTTTCAGTTGTCGGACACTTTAGAAGCCCACGTTAAATACCAGCTCATAAAATTCTGTCCGGGTTTCAACTTGTCCATAAGCTACGGCCTGTCCTTCATGTTCGCTCCCATCGGCGTCTTCTTCTGCCTCCTGGCCGGCCTTCTTTTCCTCCTGATTGGTCGAACTGTCCAGAATAACTACCACTGAAGAAGAAGCTTTATGTTTTGTGTGTGCCATCTGAAAACAGGACTCAAATGGAGCAGAGCAGCTGGGTTATTTTTACTGTTTTGATCAAACATTTTTTAAATGGAGCATGTTTTGTTTGCTTGAGAATGAGAAATATAATGGTGACTTCTTACTGGGGCGTGTTTTTGTGCTTTCCTGCATCAACTCACATCTTTTAAATAGAAAGGTTTATTTTTAGAGCAGAGAGGTGTGCTGGAGCAAGGTAACAGCCCTTAAAATGTAAAAACATAACAAGTTTAGTTGTTTTAATGTAATTACAGCAATGAGACATGGTGTTTTGAAAAGTTTTACCAGATGCCTTTTACTGCATTTAGCTGAAAACTAAATCAGTAAATAAATAGAAATAACTGAATGTTATCTGAAACCCAAATATGTTAATGATAATAAACATTGTGAGTGATTAAAAAAGCTTTAATGCTCCTGTTCTGAGATGCAGAGGTTTGCTGGTGCAGAGGTGGGCTAAAAACAGCAGGATTGCTCATTATTATTTATGATATGCACACATCTCGCTTCTGATTGGCTAACAGAAGGTGTTGAGTCATGTTGCAAAGTCACTATCACCAACACACACTCCACTCTGCAAAAATATTTTAAAAAAGCCTTCCTGTGGCTAGGCGGGAGCCAAGATGGGCGTGGCCACTAATGCAAATTCACATTGTGATGTTACAGTGTGAGTATTTTCAAATCCTCACATTTCACCATCTATTTTCTATCAGAAGCTAATGCAGGAAATAGGTGTAGGAGCCTATTTTCATGTTCAGCCTGCAAACTTCAAGTGACTGAATATAATCAGAAATAATCATTAAAATGTTTTTCAGTCAACCACACCTTTAATAAATGCACGGATGTTAAAGCAGCTTAAAAATACTCTGACATCATTGCAGTGATCCTGCACACAAAAGGTTATAGTTTCAGGATGGTCAAATGGTGCGTTTCTGAACATTTTTATGTTTATTTTGTTATTTTTTGCTATCATTCATTTTAATGTTAGTCCATCTTCATGAATGTTAGTTTGGCTGGGGTTTCATCTTTTCTCTGTGATCTGTTTGGCTTTGAAATAATAAAATACTTTGATGAAGTGTGGGTTTTTTCTCCTCAAAATTTTAAGACAATATTGAAAAATCAGAAAACAAATGAAAACACAAATAACTACAAATGGCATTGGTACCAGAAGAGGGCAGTGCTGTCTTGTAAGTCTTGTGTGTCCAGCTCTCACCCTGAGACTCAGAAATCCTGTGCTGCTTATCTGGAATCGGAGCGGAGTGTACGTGGCGTTATGCATTTAATCACAACTTCAGAGCTGTGATCTGTAGATGAAAGAATTCACACCTTGGCTGACAGACGGATGGTAATTTCACTCATGAATGGAGCATTTGATCAGGATCTGAATGTACTTCTGTGTTGACTCTCATGTGTCTGCATCAACTCTGTGCCTTTCAAGATTTATAATGTACGTGGGGAAATGCATCTGCAGTTTGCCTCAGAGTTCAGGGAGGGAGTGACACAATGCAGAGAGACGGATTATCCGGTGAGACTGACTTTACATTGCACAAAGGACTCTAATGAAAGAGATCTCACACTTCCAAATTTGTGAAATTTCAAATTACAGCCTCCACATTGAGCTACGTCCTCCTCTGCAGATCCGTATGAGAATCCACAACCCTGCAGGTCACCAGAGAAAGACTTTTAGGTGACAAACACTAATAAATTGTGAGATAAGATTACAGGATTTGTCCTGTGTGATGCTGGAGCTGTTCTTTCAGTCAAGATTTCTTCTCTTGTGGACTTCCAGATTTAAATGAAATCCTATTATGATCTTTAAAAAGTCCTTTCTCCATCCATTTCCAAGTGTGTGATCAGGGCGAAAGGCGAGGAATGGGCTGATATGGTGCAGGTGTTGAGCAGCCTGCCTCCTGCAGAAGCTGGGCCTTGCAGTCAGTAATGTCATCAGAGTGGGAGTCCCCGCTGAATTCAGCGCTGTTCTGCATGATTGCCCATGATAATTGTGTGTTGATAGGGAGCGCCGGAGATGGAGTATAATTTCCACCGAGAGATTCCTAAACAAATACCTGTGCTCAGCAGAGGGATGGAGTGCGACAGGAGGTGAGGAGGAGAATAGAGGATGAGGCGAGATGGAGGATGAGAGGGTAGCACTTCCAGAGGGGGTGGGGGGTGGTCAGGCAGCAGGAAGTGGCTTCACTCAAAAACCCACACTCTTTGTAGAAAAAACAGAAAAGAGACGGTCAAAAGATGTCTCTGTAAACCATCATTAGTAAAATTATTCATAAGATTTAATGAAATTTTGAGAAATACTATGAACAAAATGTGTCAAGATCTGTGATTGAGTCTTTAAATATCTTTATGTATTTTACTAACATTTAAACTAAAACAAATCTAGAATCTGAGAGAAGCCCTGCACCATTTCCAAACTCAGAAGCGACATAAAGGTGAAAAATGAGACTTGTTATGGGAACGTCTTTGTGTTGTTTTCAGTGACAGCGAGTGGTTTCAGACCATGACATGTTTATTAATGTGCTTCATTCCTTATCCTGATAGCTAAATGTTGTTACTTTAACAATAAAAAGTTCATGTAATGTTACACTCAGACATTAGCATCCATCTTTCAGTTTTTAACTAATTTCTTCAGGTAGAGCTTCCCTCTAATTAAAGTTTTATATACGATCACGGTCAAAATTATTTCTAACATATCATTCAACATAATTAAAAAGGCATCCTTCATAAACCGATGCTGATGCAGAATTTGGCGGGAAGTGTTAAACTCACTAAAAACTGCTCAGGATGCTGTTTTAATCTGGTCAATTGGGTGAGAAATGAATACATTTCCTTTATGAAAATTTAAAAGTTTTGACACAAAACCTAAAGGATTTTAATAAAATGAGAAATAAACTTTTTCAAACTTTCATCCTTTCATAAATTACTTGCGCATGAATTTAAATCTTTGTTCTATTAGACAATAAATACCCAAATCATAAAAGCTTATTTTTAATTCAGAATTTGACTGAATTATTTACACATTTCTCATGTGGATTATTGTGCCTCTTTACCTCCAGTCACTGGTCACTCGTACCCAGTGTGCTGGGTCAAACCAGTGACCCAAACCAGGGTTGGACTGGTCCAGATGTGGCACAGCTTCAGTTTATCAACATAATCTAAATCTAGGGTTTGTAAACCCATTTGTTTTAGCGAGTATTTAACACTTAAATATAATATTTTTCAGGTTAACTTATTCATGCCATTACAAATCGTTTTAAAGTTAATTCAATACATTTTGATTTGCAAAACAGGTGAAAGAAAACAGAATTAGAAAGAATCCTGAAAAGATGTTTTAACATTAAACAGGTCTGTTTCCTCTTCTAAATTGTCTTGTAATTGTTAATGAAACAATTAAAATGTGTTTACAGCTTATCATTAATAATTAAATTATCCTCATCTGATTAATCCGGTTTATTTGTAACATGTTTCCTTCTCTCTGAAACTCAGTGGATGCTTTTACGGACATTTTAATAACATCTGATCACTGATTTTGGACACATTCCTAAGATTCTGCAGTAATTTCCTTCAAACAGCTGTGCATTTACGATGCAAAACTCACTTTTTACATCCCTTTGTGCTGCCACACAAGTTTTTTTGTTGTTACTGAAAAAATCTGTCCATCTGTTCTCTGTCAGTGTTTGTTTTCATGAAGCCATTTCAAAAAGTCCCAGTTTGTGACATCACAAATGGGGAAATGAAAATAGAACCACCTCTCACGTGCAAGAGAGAGCTGCTGCTGGAGGAGCAGCGGTTCTACTCTGAGCCCCTCCTCAGAGCTTCTCAGCTTATAGCAGCCTGAGCGGGGGATGGGTGGGTGTGGCCAGCTCTGCTTGTTTTCCTAACCTTTAATTGTGTCAAAGCATTTCTCAGATTGTTGCTTTTTGTTTTCATTTGCACGTTGCCTTATTTCATAAACAGGAAGAGGCAGGTGGACGCTGCAAAGCGCTCGCTCATCGTGGCCAAGGGAAGATTAAGTTCACCTCTCGGTAAACACTTTAAGATTTAACCTTGAGGGAGATTTGAGCTAATTGGAAAACAGTCTTTGCCTGAGCGCACACCTTATGGCATGTAGCGCAGTTATCATAGCTTATCTGGAAACTGTATCATAATCCTGCTCGACACGCAAGTCGGATTTCATTTAAATCTGATTACTTTCAACTCTCAGGAAAAAAGCAGAATATTTGAATTGCATGAACAATATGGCAAGTCATATTACACGCTGCTTTCCTCTTTAGAGGTAGTTTTACATAATTTCCCATTCGTTTTGAAATAATGAATAGACAATGGGCTGCATAATTGTGAGGATTTACAATTCAGAGGATTACATTGTATGATCATCATGCATAATTCAGAGCTGAGTGCAAAGGTCAGAGGTGACAGTGGCACTAAAGTGGGTTGTCAAACAAACAGTTAAAGATCTATACGTTTATCTACTTGAATTACATCTGATGAGGTAACGTATCCCTGAAAGAACATCTAATTAGTCATATAGCTCGTGTTTTCAGCCTACAAAGGAGTCTGCACGCTCAGAAAAACCCACTGATGTGTAAAAAGGCATTAAAAACACGATTTTTACGTTGTTGGCCGGTGAAAGCTACACCTGTATCGAGTGGATCATCTTTGCCCCTCCAACATCCTGTGGCCTCACGTCCCCGTTTGTGCATATAAATGACATTCCAGAGTGCATATGGATAGCTTTCGTTCATACACACAGGGTCTCCTGTTTCAAAGGCATGCTAATGTCTCTCGCTCCTCTCTTTTAACTGCCAGAGCGACTGTGAAGGAGATGATTGGGACTCTTCAGCCACCTTTTCCTCCTGAATATTCACACATTTCCAACACATATGGATCAAAAACAAAGAGGGACCAATCCGAGGAAGTCGTTCCAGGCTTTGCAGGCGAAGTTTTACTCCACCATGTTTGTTGGTTATTAAGTAAATCCTTATAATTCTTCAGAAATGCTCCAAATTCAGCGTAGCGAGGCAAGTTTTTCCACTTAAAAAAAAAAGATTCGAATGCTTCAACGCTGAGAAGTTCAGCTCTGTATTTGTGTTTAGCTCCCCCTCTAGCTATTAATTAATGCTTGGGTACAAACAGCCGACGGATTTGGTCATGAATATTCAAACGCAGCTCTTGCATATCATTTCTAATGCAGTGTTCTAACACTAAGCGCTGGTGAGGCACCCGAGCCACGAGGTTCAGTGTATCATATCTGTCTGTGAACAATAAAACCTGTAAGTAACACTTAAAATAATAACATGGCATCCTTGGATGTGAAAAGCCTGATCTGCTTTTAACGTTTTTCTGGTTTAATCATCTCAAAGTTTGAACTTGAAAAGTTTTTAAAGTAATTTAATTTGGATGAATCTAAAAATCTGTAAATGGTTAACTTTAAAAAAAATTGAGGCAAAACTTCAATAAAGTAAGCTACTGTGAGAAAATAGGAGCAACCCACCCTGTTATTTAGAAATTTGATGCTATTTACTTCTAAATACAGTTTTCTATTTTTAAATCCTTTTATAGATTTAAGATAGAGATTTATTTAACTACTTTTAAATGTACAATTTCACAAAAAAAAGCATTTGAAAATTCAAATTTATGTGGAAAATTTCAGTTAAAACTAAAACTTTTAATTTATTTCTCATCTTTTAATCTTTAAATTGACTTTACATCGCAGAAATTCCAATTAAAACAATGTTTGCTGTCCCCCTTTGCTTAAACTCTAGTCCACTTTAACATTAAACTTGTATATTAATGGCATTTTGAAAGGAGTGGGTGCTGTCAGTTTGTGTAAATGTGCACCACATAAATAGGCCCTATTTATTATAATTATTATAAGAAATATACAATTCTAATGTCTTTATGTGATTTTCTGTGCTGCTCTTCATGTGTATTCATAAGAGTTGCATCACCTCATTTCATCACAGTAACATTTATGAACATGATGCACTGAAATCTCGGCAAAATGCAAACGTGGGCCTATTATTAACACTTGAACTGCAACAGTGCAGAGATCAGTTTGAC